GGGCGTCGGGGCACCATTTACCCCTCTACAGGGAGAAAGAAGCCCAAATATGTATACATTAGACCAAGCTATGCATATCAGAGAGAGAGAGAGGGGTCTTGGAGCCCCGTTTAATACCATCCTCCTCATTCAGACCTCATGGGTGCTTTGGGGGCCACTGCTTTGGAACCCCTAGGCCTTTAAGGAACACACTTTGAGAAGCATCACCTTAGTGAAAGGCGAGGGCTCTTAGGGAATTCCTTGGGCAAGAACCCGCTTGGTCTGGCTTCTGTCCCAGCATTTTGGCATGAGGAGTAGCCAGCGACCGCAGACGCTATGTACTTGCTGAGGAATAGCCTCTTGGTGCCCGGCTTTAGATTCTATGTTGAAGTGTGACTCGGGCTAAATATAAAATTCATGGCATATCTTGAGCAACTATTTTGTAGTTATCTATATATAAATATGTTTTACAGAGACACAAATAGAATAGATTGTGGAGTGTCAGCGTGTAGATGGATTCCGAGTGCTTTTCACTAATATACCTAATGATTCGTGCTGAGAATATCCAAGGGCTCCACTGTACATTTAAATGGATATAATTAAAATAATGAGCTCTATTTTAAAAAATGATAGATGAGAAAAAAAAATTTTTTTGCAGAAGTTAGAAGGAGCTGCGCCACTAATTCAAAGTGATGTAAGTACTCCTGCGATTCCGTTGTTATGAGGACGCCTAATTAAATGCAAAGCAGCCGAGAAAAGCCACATTTGGGCTTGTAAATCTGAAGCATGAAGCCGTGTCCTCCGCACAGCAAGGCCTCAGGGGTGTCACATGTAAGGGAGCGTATGTTGTGTGCCACGGTGCCTGTGGGTGAGAGAATGGCTCATGTGGCTCCCAGTGTAAAGTGGAAGAATCGCCTGTGCAGGGCGGATGGGACATTCAGAGAGCGGTTCTAACTGCATCTCCAGTGAGCAGGGCAGGCTCCCGGAGGTGGGGATGTCATCCTCGTAATGACAGCTCCATCCATGGAAACCTGCTCTCTGCCAGCTCCCTGGCTCATCTGCCCCCGTCATATCTTGAGCAACTATTTTGTAGTTACCTATATATAAATGGTCCCCCTTTAATAGAGAAGGAAATTGAGGCTTAGAGAAGGGAATCCTTTGCCCGAGGTCACCGGGTGTATGGATGCCCGGCCTTTCTGACTCCCAACAGCTCCTCCCTCTCAGCAGGATTCCGTGATGCTAGTGAGGTCCTGGAGAGCAGAAAGGGACACTGAGTCCGTTCAGACGGCACGATCAAGTGCTCACAGGACTCAGGCTGAGCTTCCGAACACGGCCAGTGAAGGAAGGGCTGAGGTAAGGGGGCCCAGCCTGTGCCCTTCCCTGCCCTGCCCTCCCCTGCCCTTCCCATGACCTCCGCTGTGGGGAACACTGGCAGGTTCCCCCAGCGGGCCTCTTTGCTGCTCTTGGGAAGCTGTGCTCCGGGCGGCCAGGGTTGGGACCAGCGAGGGCCAAGCCAGGGAGAGTCCTCAGCTGCCTGCCCAGCGCCCCCACCGCCCCCCCCCCCCCGACCTGTGGGCTGTGTTCTTGCTGGATTGGCATTAAGGTCAGACAGACCCTGGCTTCCAGCCTCAGAGCGGGCAGGATTGGCTGACCATGAGTGCCCACGTGGTCTCAGCTAGGGAATGGGGATTTCAGCCACTTCTTCCACCAGTTCCCACCAGCCTGATCATCTCTATGAATTGATTTAGACAAGGTCCTGGATTTACATTTTTGCAGTTGATCCTCACAAGGCCTTTTGAGTAGGGGTGGGGGCCTCGCTTCATGGATATGCAAACAGGCTCAGAGAGGGTCGGGGGCTCGCTCAGCGTCACCAGCCAGGAAGCGTCACCAGCCAGGAAGCGATAGAGTTGGGATTTGAACTCATGTCTGTCTCCCTCCCCAGCCCCTGCACTACAGTCTATGCCATGGCCATGTAAGACCCTTCACCCGCATCCTGTGCATACTCCCCTCCCCCAAGACAGTAGGTACCCATAGAACATCTCCCCTGGGGCACTGTCCCAGGCCCATGCAGATATTGCCTTGTCCTCTCTGCATCACAGTGCTGAGGGGTGGGTGCTGTGTTTACCCATTGTATGGATGTGAAGACTGAGGCTTGGGGTGGGGAAGAGTGTGTGTGAAGTCACTCATGCAGAAACCCATTGCTTGGGAGGGGCAGTGCCGAAATTTGGCCCCTGGCTGATTCGGCTTCAAACCCTGATGCTCTTTCCATCTCAGGTCATCACATTCCATCCTGCCAGGCCTTGAGCCAACTTCTGCTCCAGTGCCTCAGGGCCAGGGAGCTCCCCTCCCTAAGCATGCCCCTCGTTTGGCTGGCTGGCTGACAGGAATATTCTACCTCCTAGACCATAGCTGTCCCTTGTAACTTCTCAGACCTGTTGGTCCTGGTTATGCTCCTGGGACCCCCTGAACCCAGGCTTTTTGTGGGGGGATGGAATAGGCATGATGCCCTCCCAAGGTGGGCTCTGGACCTTAGCAGGGGGGCTGTAGCTCAAGATATCTGGGGAGGCAGCAGCAGCTGAAAGCCAGGAGCCTCCTGCCTTCCTGCACACTCACTAGCACCTTGGCTTGACTCTGTTCGGATGCTGAAGGGCAGGAATGGTGACGTGGGGGCTGCCATGGCGCGGTGGGCAGCTTCCCTCTGATGGGTGCCCTCCCAGTCTAAGCATGCGGCAGCTGAGAGCCAGGGTGCCTGCATCAGTTCTTGGTTCCGCTTCTTTGTGCCCATGTGACTTTGGACAAGTTATTTCACCTTGTGCCTCAGTCTCCTCATCTGTAAAATGGAGATAATACCAGGACTTACCTCACAGGCTGTTACTGAGGGTAAGCGGAGTCCGTGTGTTAGAACAGTGCCTGGTACATAGGATACTTTATTGAAGTGTTTCTTAAATCAATAAAGGAAATGAATGCTGAGAGGATTGAATCACCCAGTTTTACATTTCCCACCGAGGAGAAGGGCATGAGGTCAGACAGTGTCTGGCCGTGATGTACCAGGCACACCAGGAGGCGTCACTGGGCCCACCGGGTGCCGAAGATGTGCTGACAGTTTGCCATTATTGATAATAGTAATAGAATGGCGGCCGTGTCTTGAGAGCGGTTGCAGGCCAGGCACTGCGTTCGTGTTTTTCAAGCCTTGGTTGACTGAAACCCATGTGAGAACCACGTTAGCTCCATTTTGCAGATGTGAAGCTGAAGCTCAGAGGTTCGGGAGCTGGCTCACGTCACACCGGAAGTGACTGACTCCATAGCCCTCGCCAGTGGCTGGTGTCCCCTCTGCCTACCTTTTCATTCCTATCCGGTTCGTCCGAGTCCTGGCCTCCTGTATTAGTCAACTCAGGCTGCCATAACGAAGTACCATAGACTGGACGCCTTCTCCCAGTTCTGGAGGCTGGAAGTCTGAGATCGGGGGCCAGCAGGGTGGGGTGCTGGTGAGGACTCTCTTCCTAGCTTGCACACAGCTACCTTCTCTGTGTCCTCACACAGTGGGGACAGAGTCAGAGAAAGAGGAGTCCCTCTGTCTCTCTCCTTCTGAGGCCACAGTCCTATCATAGGGCCTCACCCTTATGGCCTTATTTAACCTTAATTACCTTGTCGAGATCCTCTCTCCAGATACAGTCACACTGGGGATTAGGACTTCACCATGTGATTTGGGGGGTTGAGGACACAATTTAGTGTATAGCACCTCCAATGGCCTTTCTCTGCCCCCTTGTTAGTTTGGGGGTCTCTCTCTCTCTTTCTTTCTCTCTCTCAGCTCACTTTCTTCACCCTGGACAGAGCTGGGAGGGACGGAGATGTGATAAAACCCATGCTGTTGTGGTAGGTGAAGCTGGAGCCCAGAGAGAAGGGTCTTGGACTTGCATCACACAGCAAGGCCACTGTGGGTCCTGGATCAGAACCTGGGTCCCTGCTTCCCAGTTGGTATGCCAGCGGGTCTTGCCAGGGCGGCCTGGAGTCTGGGCCTTGAAGGTCGCCCTGCAGACGCTTCTCTGGAGCAGTGGAGGAGGCTGGGCGTGGCCAGGGCAGCAGCCCCGGGCCTGGAATCTGACTCAATTTCCCAGTTTCTGCACATCTTAGCTTCCCCACCTCAGAAGCAGGAGCAGTGGTGACAGTCTCCTGCCAGGAGCATGAGCGAGTCCTTATGATAACGCCGTTCAGGAGTGGATAGCAGGGACCGGGCTTCATGCTGTGACCTGCCACCAGTCTTGTGTGTGGCCCAGGGCCAGTCACAGCTCTGCTCCAGGCCTCCGTGTCCACCTGTCCTGCCCGCCTCAGGACTGAGCTCTTACCTGGAGGATGTTTTCTGATATTTGAAAAGCCACTTAGAGGCCAGTGTGTTGGGCGCCAAGTGTTGGCTCCAGGACATCTCAACCGAGTGAGCCTCTCTGGCTTCTAGTTTCCCGTCTGTGACACTGGAGAGGGAACAGCTTGGATGAGGTCTCTAGGCCTCCTGCCAAGGAGTGAAGAGAACAGCACCAGACACTTCGCACATCGAACCACGTACCCGCTTGCTGCTGCTTGTGCGGAAGGAGGATTAGCAGCACCAGCGTCAGGGGGCGCTGGTTAGAAACGTAGAATCTCAGGCCAAACCCCGACCTGCAGAACCAGAATCTGCGTTTTGCCACGATTCTCATTTATGTGAAGCTTGAGAAGTTATTTCCATCCGCCAGAGCCAGTTCCAGGAGTTCCTGGGCACAGGTAGACCTCTTTAGACCCCAGCTTCCCCATCTGTAAAGTGGGTGGTGGTGGAGCCAGGCTAGCCCAGTATTTTCAAACTGTGTTCCTGGGAGCCCCAGAGTTCCCCGGAGGACCCTCAGGGGCAGCCACGGCCAGGTGCTTCAAAGAGAGGTCCATGTGACAGGTGGGTCTGTACCTAAAGATCGTGCCACCCCCTGGGCTGGTGGGCCCCCAGGTGGGCCTGGGGGTGGGCATGGGGTCCACTCTGAACAGACTCTCTTCTTCCCCAGGGAGCGCTTGAAGCGCAGCCAGAAGAGCGCCAAGGTGGAGGGGCCGGAGCCCGTGCCTGCCGAGGCCTCGCTGAGCGCCGAGCAGGGAACGATGACGGAGGTGAAGGTGAAGACAGAGGTGCCCGACGACTACATCCAGGAGGTGATCTGGCAGGGCGAGGCCAAGGAGGAGAGCAAGGCAGTCAGCAAAGATGGGACCGGCGACGTGCCCGCCGAGATCTGCGTGGTGATCGGCGGCGTCCGCAACCAGCAGACCCTCGGTGAGTGCTTGCCCTGAGGGGGTTGGGGCTGAGCCCAGAGTCCTGGGCAGTGAAGGCCCCAGATCTCTGCCCCTTCTGGCCAAGAGCCTGTGGTGGCTGCCCTCAGCCCTCGGGGAAAGAACTGGTCTCCTTAGACTTCTCTCTGCCAGCACAGGTCTAGTCCAGAGCTCTCCTCTCTCCACCTGACATGACAAAACACCACGCATCCTTTGAGACTTTAAGTCAAATGCCTGGAACATTCTGCAGACCAGTGAGTCCCTCATGCATGGGGCTCCCATGCCCCAGGGGGGGTCTAGCGCAGCCTGCTATTTGGCTGGTGTCCCAAATGCCTGTCGGTATTTCCACCTCCTGTGCTGGACTGGAGACTCCCGGGGCAGCTCCCAGTGCAGGTCCTGCTCAGAGCAGATGCTCAGTCAGGACCGGATGGGGATGGACTGGTACCTTCTACCCCTGCCTGTTCTGATCTGAGCCGGGCTCAGAGGAGCTCTGTGGAAACAAGCTTCTTAGAAATTGTCGCTCCCCTCGCTTCCCAGCCTGAGCCAGGGGATACCCCTCGGGCTGCCTGCGTTCCTGCCAGGTTCTCCGAGGCCCCGCAGATATGTTTATTTAGCACAAGGAGGGATGAGCCAGGCAGGCAGGTGGTGGGGACCGAGTCCAGCTGGAGCGCCCACTCCCCGCGTGCAGAGGGGGCTCGCTCCTCAGCTGCTGCCGACTGTAATTGGTGGGGAGACAGGCTCAGTGTGGCCAGCTCTCTGGGCGTACCGCGTGCCAGAAGTGAGAATTTTCATGTGAATTCCTTTGGCTTTAAATGTTGGCAACTAAATATTCCAAACAAAACATGTCTGTGGGTCAGAGTCATTCCATGGGCCAGAAGTTTGCAAACCTAAGTCTGGAAGATAAAGTCCACATGCCCCGGGCTGGCATCGAGGCCTCGCCTGGTCTGTTTCGGAGTGCCTTCCTGCTCGCTTCCCGCGTTCAGTGTGTTCTTAGAAAGTTCTTAAGAAGTTCTGCCATCTCCCTCGCCTCTGCCGGTCCTTCCTGGTCTAACTCATTCCTGACTTCTAGGCTCACGTCCAAGGTGGGGAACTTCCCCTGTGTCTGTTTCCCCAAGTTTGGCTCAAGTCCTGTTGCCTTATCTTTCCAACCTTGGGAATGAGCCTGGAACTCCCTATTCTACCTGTTCCTTTGTTGGTTGCAGCCACCATCAGCCCCACCTGGGTCATTGTGGCATCCCGCTAACAACCATGCCTTTGTGTCTCCCTGCATTCACCTGCTGTCCTTTCTGGCTGCCAGGGGCCTTGGCCAAAGCAGGACACTGAGCATGTCACACCCTGATTCTGAACTTGGAATTCCCCACTGTGTCTAGGGGATAGCACCAGGAATCTACATAACCTGAGCCTTTGAGCCTCATTTCTTATTTCTGATCTTTCCGGACCTTTCACTCCAGTGCAGTCTGTTCTGCAGCATTTCCTGCCCTTTCCCCTTGCTGTTCCTTCTCCTCGGAAAGCCTTTGCCCATTTCCTCATGCCCCAATCCAACCCCTCCTTCAAGGCCAACTATATTGCCACCTCTTCCCAGAAGGCTTCCTTGATTTCTTCTGGTCAGAATTGGTGTGTTTCTACCCTGTCTCTCACTGGGGCACTTCTCATTAGAGGTGCCAGGTCCATGCTCATCTGCCACAAGGTGAGGAACTCTTGGAAGTGGAGCTCCAGGACTTGTCAGGTCTACGTCCCTATGTTCTCCAAGCAAAGTCCTAGTGTCTAGGAAGCAGGGCTGACATTGGTGCTGAAACTGTCAGGATGGGGCGAGGTTATGCCACAGAAATGAAGATCCCAAAAGTAAAAAAGCAATCTTGGTAGCTAAAAACCACAAAGGTGTATTTCTCAGTCACACTACGTGTCCATTGTGGGTGAGCTAGGGGGCTCCACCCTGCTCTGGACCCAGGCTAAAAGCCGCCGTTGTAGGGAATGCTGCCACCCTGTGTCAGAGGGAGAGAAAACTCTAGGGGGACTCACACTGGCAGTTAACCTGCTGCGACCCGAAGTGAGAAGTGCTAACTCCATGCAGTCATGGACCAGAACTAGTGACGTGGCCTGCCCAACCTCGGGGAGGCCGGGAAATGCCACGCTAGCGTGTGACAGAAGGAGGATGAACCCGAGATATCGGTGAAGAGCGTGAGGGACTTAGCCCAGTGCCATATGAGAGAAGACTCTTTTCAGGGCCTGTGCCTGGCCTTCGTCTGTCAGTGTTCATTCCCCAAGGCTGAGGACTGTTAGCCACTAGATGTGTTAGTTAACCTAGTTAACCAAGGAGAGGACATGTCCTTGTTCACTTTGCGGGGGGGAGTGTTAAGACTCATTGGACCCAGTAGCTCTTTATGCCCTCCACCAGGAGCTGCCCAGAAGGGTAGTTGAATTTGAATCTTGGGCTGGAGCTGGCCGTCTGGATTCAGCAGGGAAAGCCTGGAGCAGCCATGCTAGGGAAATGTGGGGAGCCCTTCCTGGGCCAGCTGCCTGCGCAGTTAGAGGCCTCAGGGCCTTGGCCGCATGCCAGTCACCATGCTGGTTTCCCTTGGCCTCGCTGTGCCTCAGTGTCCTCCTCTGCTAAATGAGGCATGCTCCCTGTCCTGGCTGCTGGAGGGGTGTGGGAATCACTGTTGTGCCGCGAGAACGAACTCGTCTCCTCCGATTGGGAGTGAATCCAGGCTCTGTGGCTTAATAGCTGTTGTACCTTGGGCAAGTTACTTGACCTCTCTGTGCCTCAGGTTTCACTATTGCAGATTCATTGGGCTATTTGAGGATTCAGTAAAAATGATCTATGTCAAGCGCTCAACATTGTACTTAGTAAATGGTTAGCTATTGTTAGTACTGGTATTCATAGTAAAAAGTACCTCTTCGAGGGGGAAGAGTAGTAGTATTTCTGCTTTTGTCCCCCAAGTGTAAGAGATAAGCCAGTATGACGGAGAGACGAGAAATGGGATGGAGAAGAAACCTGTGGATGAAATATCAGAAGACAGGGGTTCTAATGGGGCCTCGGTTTTCTCATCTGAAAACTAACTGATCCAGTCCCTGGCGCTCCTTCCAGTACCGCCTCCCTAGAATTCAGGAACTTGGAGCATCTCTGAGTTACCTGCTTTTGGCTCACCCTTGTGAAAAGGTGTAAAAGCCAATGACAAGTTAGAAATGGAACCACCTTTTTAATGGAGCCCATACCAAACAGGCCCAGGGCGCCCCCTGCTGGTCGTGGCCGCTCCTCTCGCATCCATCCAGTCCGACCTTCCTTGAGGGTGTAGTTCCTGTCAAGGGTCAGGCTCAGAGGAATGTGGCTTGGCCTCAGCACCAGGAAAGAAAAGCATTTAACAGCAGCAACACACACACACACACACACACACGCACGCACGCACACACGCACACACGCACACACACACACACACATCAGTGTTAGGATTGAGCCTTTTGAACTCATCTAATCACAGGATGGCAAGTAAATTTTATCTTGTGGACCAAGTCCAAGTAATTGCAGCGGGCTCAGTGGAGTCTGTGTTGAAGCTTCTAAAGGGTGGCATGATTGATTATTGATGTCTGCCACGGCTGTGGACGTGGGCGGTGGGGCTACACATGCTATAGATTTGATACCCGTGTCCCCTTCATTGTATAGAAGGGCCAAGAAAGGCCCGCGGAAAGAAAGAGAGCCGCCCTGAGTCACACAGCAGGTCGGTGACATTTTCTTCCACTTTGTGGAGGCCCTGCTCCACCTCACAGCACCCCCGCCCACTCACTTCTGGAAGGGAAGGACTCCCCGGGGTCTCGCCTGGGGTGAGTGCTGGGTAGAGCCATCCCTTTAGATGAGCCTGTGCCACGAGGCCAGGCGTCGAAGAGTTAACATGTTCCCCAGTCAAGTCGGCCAGGAAGAGCGGGGCTCTGGGGAGCAAGGGCCTCCTGAGTGCCATGCTCAGGGTTCAGAGCCGGGCTCTGTTGATGAATAGAATAGCGGTCCTGTTTGATCGCCCGTGCAGTGCCACGAGGGACCCTCCCATGTGCCTTCTCTCAGAGCTCCATCCCCCTTGTCACCCCCGCTCCCCGTGTCCTCACTGGCCCTTCGACGACCATCAGACAAACAGTGCTCCCAATGACACATATTATCCGAGGCATTTCCCATGGGTGAGCCCAGGTCATGGACACGTGGGTGGCATTTGGCAGCTTCTCAGGCTGGGAGAGTCAGAAGGGGCCTCAGTGCCCGGGAGGCTGGCTGGCTGCCAAGCCTGCAGCGGTGGCTGCCACCTCCCTGCTGCCACCCTCGTGCTGAGAAGGGTGTCCCTCACTCTTAGAAAGCACGTCGCTGCCATTGGTATGGGGCTTAGGGGCAAGACCTCGAGCTTCCTTAGTTAGGAAGAAGAGCAGGGACAATACTGACTGTGACAACTCTGTTGGATAAAACCGGAAGTGAGCTGACAACTGCCTGTTCCCTCCCCACAAGCCACAGGCAGAAGTCTGCACAGCAGCCCCGAGGCATGGCAGGACCACACGTGAGGTTTCGGGAGCTCCTCTGTGAGGAGTGCTAATAAACAAGGGGTGACCGCGGCTACGCCCCAGTTCCGCATCCATGGCATCGCCAGTTGATCACTGCATACTGTCCCAACGAAGCACCTCAGAATCCTCGTTAACACAGGATACCAAGAAGTCACGGCCGGTCTGCCAGAATGGAAAAATCTGAAGTAGAAAACCGCTTGCCGTCCTTGACTTAGATGGTGAGGACGAAGCAAGCTGGGTTGGCAGCGATCAGGACCTCCGGCCCACGGAACATTTTCTGGTTCAGAGAGAGAATCGTGCCCAGTCCCATCGGGTGGTCAGAATGTCCCACCAAGCAGTGGGTGCTCTTCTCTGTGCTGTGAGACGATGGGTCCTTCATCCAGAGAGGTGCCTCGTGAAGGGGCCCAGGGAGAGCCCCCGGTGCCTGGAGACCTGGTGGGTGGTCCAGGGCTTCCCTCGTGGTTGAGGAGCCCACGGAGGGAGCAAGTGACCAGCTGGGCTCTTCCTCAGCGGAGGGGTGTGGGCCAACAGATTATTCCAGAGTTAACTAACTCGGTGTAGGGAGGAGCCTCATGACAGAGCTAAGGGCTGTTTGTATGGGGAGGGGGGCTGTGGCCCTGGGAGATGATAGAATCTATAAGTATTTTGGGGGAAGGGGATGGAGCAGACACATCCCAAGCAGCCCCAGCCAATCTGAGGTAGTTACCAGGAGGTGATTTCAACGCAGTAAAAGGAAGGACTTTGTGATTATGGGAACCATAACCGGATATAGGCCTGTGAGGGAGGGAGTTCCCTGGAGGTGGGTCAGCAGAGAGGGTCACTGTAGGGGTACAGAAGGGGGAGTCAGGGATCACCTGGGAAAATGGCTCCTGCAAGGATGTTTCTAGGCAGTGAGCTGTGAGCACCAAGGAGTGGAGGTGTTTCCACACATACACAGGGCTGCCTGGGGAAAAGGGGCAGGAGGAGGAGGAGCAGGAGCAGGAGGATGGGGAGGAGGAGGGGGAGAGGGAGAGGGAGGGGGAGGGGGGGAGGAGGAGGAGGAGGAGGAGGAGGAGGAGGAGGAGGAGGAGGAGGAGGAAGAAGAGGAAGGGGCCTCAGCTTTGGAAGGAGCAGCAGAAGAGCAGACAGCCATTCAGACAAGGCCACATGAGTTTGGTCTGTGACAAACCCAGCAGCCAAGGTGCCAGGTCCTGCTTCCAAGTGCCAGCTGATAGTTAGTTTCCTGTTTCAACAGGCTGTTGGCAGGGCTTGGAGCCGGAGCTTGCCAGAACTAACACTCAGCTCTTTGCTGAGCCACCCAGAAAGGAGGGGTTTGGCACCGTCCCAGGTGCATCTTGTCTCCGCTGAAGACTGTTCATTGGGATGTCCAAGGTGGGAAGGGGATCCCAGTTGGAGGGTCCCCATTGGCAAAGGCCCTAAGGCTCTAAGCCAAGAGCCTCAGCGTGTGCCCTGCTATGGGGCCTTGGACAGACCCCGCAACCTCTCTGAGCCATACTGTCTTGGTTGATCAGTGAGTGTAATAGAATCTGCCGGTAGGTTCACTGGGAGCAGAGTGAAGTAATAGGCATGAAAGTGTTTTTTAAGGGGGGCAGGGGAGCACTTGAGGTCTTGCTTCTCGGCATGTCATCAGGTAGCTCAAATAAATTAAAATAATCTCTTATTAAAGGGGGGGGGGCGAATGCAAAACAGATACCAGTGGGATTAGCCGAAGCCTCAGACACATCTGGGGTTACCTCTGGAATGATAAGAATCTAAAGGACCTATGGCTTCACACTTTTTTTGTTCAGTATCTCCTACAAGAATTTTGAGAAACGATATTCTCTTTCACATTTTTGTGTTGACATCTAACATTTTAATCCAACGTTTACGTAATCACAAAGGGTATAATTTCTGGCATATTGTGTAAAAATGTGGCATTTGAAACAAAACTGTGAACCACTCTTTTAAATGTAGTCAAGATAACCCAAACCCCACTGCTACTCGTATCTGCCATCATCCATTTATGAAACCTATGAACAGGCCCATCTTTAACAGTCAGAAATTTTACATCTTTCCTTTTTCTCCTTGAACTCATATTTCCAGTCCACTTCCCTCACAGGACTTTATCCTAATGTAATATATTTTTTATGCTTGAGAGTCTTTTATTGATCACTGTTTCACACTCATCTCCCACAACAAGATGTATGTAAATTGAAATTTCTAAAAAATATGTTGGGATCATAAAGCTCTATATTTTAAAACATTTTCTTCCCCAGATAGAGTTGTTATCAGCATACAATTTGCCAAAAACAAATTTAGAGCGATCGTAAATGTACAAGGAAAATGTTATCGAAAATACACCTTTTCATAAAACGGATGGGCTTTCTGTTTCAATTGGTTCATGTTTCTGTGAATTAATATGTCTTATATGTTGAATGAGACAGGATTCAGCATTAACTTAATTCCCGTGTTTCGGTTTTCGTAAGTGCGAGTGCTTAAAAGCTTGATCACATAAATCAGGAGGCAGGGAGGGGTGGCGGTTTGTATTAGCAGCATCACTTAGTTCTTTAACTCCAAGTTGTCTGTCCAAAATGACATGTGGGCATCTCATCAGACATTATTTTTAATGGTCTCTCCGCTGACAACTCCATTAGATCTTCAGTTTTGTTGAGAGCTGAGACTTAGAAAGCGCCAGAATCACAAGAGGAATTGTTCCCAGTCACTAGACCACTTCCCAAGTCCGATGCCCGATGTTTCTGATCTCACCTTTGCCTGGAGCCCTGGGATGGTAACCGCCCATGGAGGACACACAGGGTGGAATTGGGTGGATGACAGAGCTGTCATGTCACCCAGCTGGTGTGGCTCAGTGCTTGAGCATTGATCTATGAACCAGGAGGTCACGGTTCAATTCCCGGTCAGGGTACCTGCCCGGGGTGCAGGCTCCATCCCAAGTGAGGGGTTTGCATGAGTCAGCCAATCAATGATTGATTCTCTCTCATCATGGATGTTTCTGTCTCGCTCTCCCTTCCTCTCTGTAATTAATAAAAGTATATTTTAAAAAAAGAATTGTCTTGCCCGTAATGTGGGAGAAGGTGAGGGTGAGAGGAGAGGAGGAAGGAGAGCAGCGGAGGGGGCCCCCAGTCTGCTGCCACTGCTCTGTCATGTTGCTTCTAGGAAAAGAACATTTGGAAGTGTTTTCAACGGCCTGTGCTCCCCTATTCCCAGGGGACTTGCACTCGGCTTGGAAGACGCTGGTTCAGAGGACATTTGGTCTGAGGCCAAGCCCCAGGGACCCTCTGGAAACCCACGCGTCCACGACTTACCTCTCCAGGCCCCCTTTCCCCAGCCCGCCCTGGGCCCAGCTCCTGTTGCCTCCTAGAACCAAGCGGCTGGTTCCTCCTCAGCATTTGATCTGTAAGCAGCGGCCGCGTGATGCTCTGAGCTAAATACAGGCCTGCCCGTTGTGAGGGGCCGTCCTCTCTGCCCCCACTCCTGTTTTCCTTTTCTCCTTCCCCTCTCTGGAGTTCTGCCTGCTGCATTTTGTGTGTCCTGAGATGTGTCTGAGCTTCTCTAGGGCTGGCTGGGTACAAATGGTGGAGCTGAGGGTTGCTCCCCACCTTCTCGTCCTCAGGAGACCTCTGCCCTGGCGATCACCACTTCTCCCTCCCATGGCCTCGGGGATGTCTCTGCTGGGCCCTGCTGCCTCTTTGCTTGCTGGGGACAAGACGGCCAGTGGCCAGCGGATCAGCCCTGCCCCTTGAGCAGAGCTAGCAGTCCCCGGAGGCATCCCCGCAGGCACTGGGGCCTCATGGCTGCCTGTATTGGGTGCTGGCTGAGCGGTCCCTTTCTTGCCTGTTTCCAGGGTCCTATGAGTGTGGAATCTGTGGCAAGAAGTACAAGTATTACAACTGTTTCCAGACCCACGTACGCGCACACCGAGGTGAGTGGTGTGCCCCTCGGCAGAGTCGGGGGGCTTCCTGTTCTCTTCCTGGTTTTCCACCTGGACCCCTCCTGGGTGACTCCAGAGGCCCTGTGAGCCCCAGGCTTCTCTCTCTCTCTCTCTGTACCAGGGAGACCCCAGGAGGAGAGGGGGAGCTTCCTTTACTTGGGGTAGGGGGACAGCAGGGCATGCCACCAGACTTCTGCCACCAGTGCCTCCTGCCCGCTCCTCACAGGCTGATTTCTCCCAGAATGCTTCAGTGCCGCTCAGTGTCACCTCGCGTGCTCCCCAGTATGGCCCTGGAGTGGGGCAGGGTGGCCCTCTCCGTTCTGAAGATGAGGACACTGAAGCTGAGGGGACCGGGGGCTGATGCCTGACACTCCCTGGGCCTGGCAGACAGGGAGAGAAGGCTGGGGCAGGGGGACTGACTGACGAGGGGTGGGGACTAAGGGAGAGGCTCTGTTCCTTGCCTTCTGCATTGGAGAGGGCCCTGGGCATGTTGTAGTGTGTTCACCAGCCCTGCCATTGGTCCAACGTACTCACCTTCTCATTCATTCTCTCTCCCCCTCCCTCTCTACCTCCCCCTTCCCTCTTCTCCCCCTCCCCCTTCCCTTCTCCCCCTCCCCCTCCCTCTCCCTTTTCTCTTACAGACACTGAAGCCACCTCAGGGGAGGGAGCCTCCCAAGGCAGTGAGTATTTTTCCCTCCTTGTGGGCTTCTGGGGGCGGAGGGTAGGGGGGGGGGGGCCCATGAGAGCCAGGGGTGGAAGGAGATGCTCCTATCCCCCCAAGCCCCCATCACCAGGAGGTCCCACGTGGCTTCTGGGAGACACATTTCTTATGGTCCAGGCTTTGGGACCAGTGGGTCCTTATGAACTTGTAAGATGGTTACTCTGAACAGCCTTTCCCAAAGTGTGTTCCGAGACATACTCAGCATCCTGTCAGGAAAGGGTTCTCTGGCCAAACAGCCTGGGGAACCTTGAGCCTTGCGTAGAAGAACGGGTTTCTTGCTGTAGACTTCCCAGGCCCTTTGCTGGCAGGTACGCCCAGGCCCTTCCAGGAGGGCCCAGTGGGTGCAGGTGCCTCTGTTCTTTGACTCCCATTGTGGGTCTGGGGCTCCATAGCCGATGTGTGGGGGCTCCTGCTCCAGAGAGTTATCTCATGAGCACCCGTGGGCACCAATCACTGGGGTGCGGTGTCCCAGGCCCGGGCTGTGCAGGGCCTTGACCTCTGGGGACAGTGTTCTGCTTTGCTGCCCACAGGCCCTGCTTGCCCTCCCTCCACATCTAAACCCCGGGCCTGGTAACAGCAGCCAGAAGGCTGTGGGCTGGGCTGCAACTGTCCCTCCCCCACAGCCCCGAGCCTCGGAGCCCAGCGGCTTCACCCCAGGTGTATCCCCAGCAGCAGTGTGTGCGCATGTCCACCCTGCATGGGAACTGGGATGCTCTTAGCAGCACTGTGTGTAACCGCTCCAAACTGGGGACCTCCCGAGTGAGCGCCCAGGAGGTTGAAGGGGTAAATGAGTCACGGCGTGTTCACGCGAAGGACTGCAGCACAGCATGGAGAGCCGGAGATAGAGACTTACACACAGCAGCGTGCATTACCCACAGACAGTATTCGCAAAGGAAGCCGGGATAAGAGTCTCTCCTTAGGTCTGCGTACAGGACGTGCACAAACTGGGGACGGGAGTTCATGCTGGAAGAGTCAGCGTCCTGGTCACCGTTAGGACGGGCTTCTGGGGGTGATATTTGAGGTGGGCGCTGGCCACACAGGTGTTTTGGGTTTATGGAAACTGAACAAGCTGTGCACTTAGGATTTGTACCCCACTTTTTGTAGGGGACCATGTAGTAAACGTTTTAGACTTTGCAGGCCACCGGACGCCTCTGTCACAACTGCTCATCTCTGCGTGCAGCTCAGATAGGAACTCCTGTTCTGTCTATGTGCTTGTTAGACCTCCATCAAAAGCTCCTTAAAATATAAACACACCCCCCAGGAAAAATCCAAAACACGGGCCTGGGGCTAAAGCACTGGTCCTAAGAACACGCCCCTTGAGGCACTTCCCCATCCACTCTCTTTGATTCTTACCCTGTGTGATAGGCAGGCAGGCCTGAGGCTACCAGCACCTGCCAGAGGGCCCAGGGCTGGGAGGAGGTGAAGGCCTGGCCCTCCTCCCCAGCCCCGCCTCCCCCAGCCTGGTCCCTGGCTCCTTCTCCCTATAGCTTCCTTCTCCTCTGGCTCCCACGGTCTGCCTGTGGTCAGCCACCCATTTAAAGAACTTTCCGGTTTATCTTTCCTCCCTCGGCTATTCCTGGCCTCCCCAGCAGCCTCTCAATGATACGTTGTGTGCTGTCTGGCTTCTGCCTTTGCCGCGGGCCCGCAGGTTGTTGAGGACTCTGTAGCCTGAGCTGTTTTTAGTCCTTCCATCACTTTTCCCTTCCTACTCTGACCCAGGCCAGCAGTGTCTGCTCAGAAAGTCCGGCTTCCTCACATGCCGGCTTCATCATGGGAGCCCCGCCACAGAGTCCTGCAGCCAGAGGACCCCATTGGGAATAGCAAGCCCAGCCTTCCCGTCCTGCAGATGAGGCTCCCGAGTCCCAGAGAGAGGTCATACCGCTTGTTGGGGGTGGAGGTGGGCACAGAGACCAGGTTTCACGCCTTTAGTCCAGGCATCTTTCCTTTATTGGTGAGAAAAATTGTACATTCACACGTAGAGGCATCTACCCACTTACCCGTCTCTCAACTAAGAAAATAAAAGGTTAACTCCACGTCCAGTTCTCTTGCACACTCACTATGTGGCTGCTAGCAGGACTGGTCCTTCCCAAGCTCTTGGCCTGAGGGCCTCAGCACCCCACCCGCTGCTCACCGAAGGCTGCCCCCTGGTCTCTACGGGGCAGCTCACAGCACATCTGCTAACAAGAGCGAGATGGTGTGAGCCGGACGGGTCATGTCCTCTGACTGATCTCAGAGTGGTTCCGTCACTTCACTGCATTCTCTTTATTAGAAGCAAGTCGCTGGGCCCTGCCCAGACTCTGGGGGAAGGAAATACACAAGACATGAGCACCAGGAGGCCGAGGTCATTGGGAGCCATCTCTGAGGCTGTGGGGCTTGGGGCAGGTCCCTCTGAGCCTGTTTCCCTGTGAGGACGTAGTAACCCTCAGATGCAAGGACTAGTGGATACGGAGGAGGGTGGGACCAGTTATGACCCGGCCCTTAGGAGCTCAGCTCACAGGAGGTGAGATTGGGGGTTGGTTTGAAAGTCACCTCAGGGCTTCCCGGTCTGCCTGTGTAGAGGACCCTCACACCCCAGAACTGGTTCTCTGTGGAGTCACCCGTTGGGGTCCGTCTGAGCTAGTCCTTTCTTTGGTTCCTGAGGCAGATGAGCTGGCCCCCAAAACTCCACCCCACGTGACTGAAGCCCTGGTGACCACGTGTTGTCTTTCCGTCCCCCACAGACAATTTCAGGTACACATGCGACATCTGCGGCAAGAAGTACAAGTACTACAGCTGCTTCCAAGAGCACCGAGACCTGCACGCGGTGGATGGTGAGCCAGGCCCCTCACGCCCGGGGAGTGAGTCCCATAGAGAGACCCCGCACCCAGGGCCGCTTACCTGGCCCCTCCCTGCCCTCCGCCTGCCCAGACGAAGGTCATGCGGCAGCCAGACCATGAGGGACGCGCCCAACCCCTGAGGATCCTGGGGAGAAAAGGTCCCGGGCACATTCCATACATACTTCTGAGTCGTGATGGCGAACCTTTTGAGCTCGGCATGCCAGCATTTTGAAAAACCCTAACTCAACTCTGGTGCCGTGTCACATATAGAAATTTTTTTGATATTTGCAACCATAGTAAAACAAAGATTTATATTTTTGATACTTATTTTATATATTTAAATGCCATTTAACAAAGAAAAATCAACCAAATAAATGAGTTTGCGTGTCACCTCTGACACGCGTGTCATAGGTTCGCCATCACTGGAGTAGGGGAACCCGAGTGAAATTGCTGGCTTTGTAAATCAAAAGCCGTCGAATAGCCACAATTTTATATCAATTTATTATCCGATTTCATATTGAGTATTCACATGCTCTGGTGAAATTAAACCAATTTTTAAAAATGAACGATGGTATTTTAGTGTCTTAGATTACAGAGTTAGGAATTAGAACAATAAATTTAGGTAATTTGTTTTTGAAAACGGAAGAATCCTAGAAATAGGGTCTTGGGTCTGGGAGGATCTTGGGGGCTCCCTCTGGAGCCGCACACCCCCCAGCCCATCTCCAGCTGTGACAACCCAGCTTCCCACCTACTGGCTCATCCTTCTTCTCGCCTCCTCATTCCTCTCCTCCCGGTCTCTCTCTCTTTTTCTCCCGCCCTGGCCCTCAACTGGGTGCTGATGATCCAGAAACAGGGCAGACAGGATGTCTGCCCCCCGGGCTGGGCCCTGCCGTGGGAGGGAGAGGCGTGGAGACACAGGCTGTGTCCTGGTTGGGGCGCACCCTCCTGTGGCCGCTGGTTTTCTGGGCCTGCACACTGGCCAGGGCCGCGCCCCTAGGCCGAAAGGGCAAGTGCACGTGGACGGGGCTGGGAGCGGCGGGCAGAGGCAGCTGTGGGTGGGGACTAACGGGGCTCCTGTTTGCTTTTTCCTCCTGCGGCTGCTGCCTCCTGCTCCCTGCCCCGGCGCAGTGTTCAGTGTGGAAGGGGCCCCCGAGAATCGGGCAGGTAAGTACTTGGTGGCTGGCCACCTCCCTGGTCCCCAGCTAGGCTCCGGAGGCCTGGTGACCAGGGCACTAAGGGCCGTGTGTTCTCCACAGACCCCTTCGACCAAGGCGTCGTGGCCGCTGAAGAGGTGAAGGAGGAACCCCCGGAACCATTCCAGAAAATCGGGCCAAGTATGCGGGCCTCTCCTTGGGGCCGGGGCTGGGTGGGGAGACAGGCGGGGACTGGCTGAGGGTGGCAAGGTGGGTTCCGCTGCTGGGAGAGGGTGGCGTTGCTCATCCGGCAGTAACGCCTGGCTAGCGAGCCACTGGCCTTCTTGCACCTCACTTTGTCCACCTGTCAGATGGGCCAGTCAGTGTTGAGATTCAGCTTTGGAGAAGCAGGACAGCACAGGGTCAAGGTCAGAGCAGTGAAGGCAGCACCTGGTTGGTGCCCTGGCAGTCTGTTAGCCGTCCTGAGCCTCGGCTCCTCACCTGTGGCATGAGGGTGACATTTCCCCACAGGTTTGTTGGGGGATTAAATGAGATCGTGGCTACCAATCACCTGTTAATTAGCACAGTGCCTGGTACATTATAGGTGCTCGGAAAATAACTTGTTATTGTCACCTGAAGGGGTTCATCAGCCAGTGGAGCTGTCCAGGGGAGCCATACGCAGACACCTGTCCTTGTCCTAGAAACCCCCGAGGGCAGGAGCCACGCATGCGACTTGCCGTTTTCGGCACACCTGTACTGAGTGTTGTGGGGACGCAGCAGTGAGCAAGACAGATGTGGCCCTCCCTTTGGGGAATACGGAGGGAGCCCGCAGGTCAGTGAGGAATAGTTACAGCATACCTAGAAGCACAGGCGGCTGGGGGTGCCAGGGGTGCCTGACCAGCCTTGGGAATCCACGAGGCTTCTGAGTGGGGACCAGGGTGGGGAATGAGCCCTTGCATCCCCTCGAAGGCAGGAGAGCAGCACTTTTCTGGGAATTGAAAGGCCAGTCGATTCTAAATTCAGGTCTTGGAGAGGCTCGAATACCGGATGAAGTTACTTAGACCTAAAGACCTACTCCTGAGGGGAGTGAGCTGAGCCGGGAACATTTACTAAATGGGGAAGGGACTTAATTCAGTTTGCATTTTAGGAAGACCATTTTGGCTTGGAGAATGGACTGGTGTTGGTGGTAGCGTCTCACACGTGAGACTGGTCCAGCCCTTCAAAAATTTACATGTACTTCCTGTGCCTGTCTTACTACCGGCAAGAGAAGACCTTCATGGGCTCTGCCTCACCACACTAAGGATGAAGGCAGCTTGCAAAAATACACACTCAGACATAGAATGAAAGGATGTGGAAATCTGAGGGAGGGAATCGAGGGAACTACCACAGTGAAGCCGCATGGTCCCAGGCCCTGGGGAGGCATTGCTGGGTCCCTGGATGCCTTTTCTTCCTCCTTCCTCCTAGGGGATAATTCCCTGCTTGATTTTTTCTCTTAAACTCTCAGTAAACTGCAGATGTGATCCTATCTGTAAAGTGCTTAGCACCATGCTTGTCATATGCATAGTAAACAATAAACAGTGACATTAAAATAACCTTGAAGATAAAGAAAATGATGAAAACCTCAACACAAACACTGCCAGGAGGTAGATTGTGGGAGATCCAGATGTGAATCAGACACGTTCCAGGACAGATACGGGACAGGGAGTCGCAGCATAGCACTACCCTTCCATGTCTGTCTAGCATTATAATTATGAAAGTTGGCTTTGGAATCCAACAGGCCCCGGTTCGAATGCTGGTGTCACCAGTTTACTAGCTGCTTACCCCCTCGGAGTCTCCTTTGACTCCTCTGTAAATTGGGACAAGAACTCGATCTGTTCTGCAGGATGAATGGGTCAAGTGTCTAGCCAGCACCTGGCTCATACTCAGGGCGTCACAGTGAGCAGTGCTGCCAAGGGGTAGTTGAGAGTGAGAGCTTAAGAGCCATCCCAAGTATGAATCCCAGCTCTACGCCTAATCACCCTGCGACATCCTACAAATACTGTAATCTCTCTAATCCACCATTTCCTTAATTCTGAAATGCAGTGATGACAATAAAACTCCCCTCTCAGGATTGTCATGGAGATTAGCTCAGATTATATTTATAAAGGGATTAGTCCTTGACACTTACATGGAAGCATTAAGTAAGTGGTCCCTATTACCCGGAAGGTGCAGAACAAGATGAAACTTGTTCTATATATTGGCGACTAAGCCTTACAGCAACCCGTGCTAGGTCCTGGGAGGAATTGTCACAGATGATGCAGAGGGAGTAGGGAATTGCAGTGAGAAAATTGAACTGAGTTTGTCGTGTCCGTTCCCTCCTTACCCTCCTCTCCTCCCCCTCCCCTCTCCCTGCTGCTCCCAGCTTGGCACTATGGAAGTGAGGTTGCTAGAATAGTGTGATGCTTTCCCTTGTTACCACTCAGGAGCTGCCTTATGAGTTAAGACTGCTGCTGCTTGGGCTCCTGACATGTCTTGCAAGCAGGCCAATGCCACAGAACCCTGAAACCGATGAGGCGTAGAATAAGAGGAGCCAGTAGCAGCATGGCACACTGTGAAGGGGCTAGTTGCCACAAGTAGCGATTGTAGGTGGGGGAGAGGAAGAAACCTGGTAGCAGTGCGTGCTGGGAAGTATGCCTTCCACATCCACATCAGCTGAACTATTAGAGAGTTAGGCACTTGAGGAGGAAGCCAAAGCCATGGCAGAGCAGAGACGTCCTGCTGGAAGAGGGAGCTGGTCTAAGGGGTCCTGTGCGTCAGCTTGCTCTCCAGCTCCAGATCTGAGAACTTTTACCGTGGTAATGGTCTTCTACCATGGTAATGAGAAGATTCAGAGCAGTTCATTTGTGCCAGCGGAAACAGAGTCAGTCTGGATTTGTTCATAGGCTATTTGATTTTTATATGTAGATAAGAAAGACTTAACTTGGAAAATAAATAAATAGATAGATAGGTAGATAAATAAATAAATAAAACCATGGGGAACTATGAAATTCCACATCACAAGAAAAAGAGAATTTAGGAGACTCAGGGGAAGAGCATACATCTGAAAATGATCTACTGCGAAATCTAGATGAAAATTCTCTCTGGCAGCCACAGTTGATTATAAGAAAATATGACCTGTCGTGGGCTGCCTTAATGTGTAGCTTAAACAACAGAAATTTATTTCCTTAGTTCTAGAGGCTGGTAGACTGAGACCAGAGTGCCAGTGTGGCTGGGTTCTGTGAGATTACTTTTGGCCAAATACCATCACATTGGGAGGTAGCGTGTGAACATCTGAATTTGTGGAAGACACAGTACAGTTCCTAGCATGAACCCTGTGAGAAAGGAGCCCAGAGTTATATGGTGAAAAAGCAACAGGATACGGTGAAAGGGCAAAGAGAGTAGTGTGAGATGAGGGAGGATTGCAGAGAAGCTGAAAATATAACAGAACTAAGACTTTCATTGCAGGTAGTAAAGAGCAGAGTCAGTCTATGAAAACAGAATTAATGATGTGAAGGACAGATTTGAACAGATGAGATAATTAGAGTAAAACATGATAAATATGGAGAATGGGGAACTGCCAGGAGCCGGTCCATCCTTGCTGTTTCAAAGGACCTGGCATATATGGCATACTGTTCTTAATATGTTTGCTCACCTTCTTGGCACTATGTGTTTTAACCAAGGTCTCCTCTCTGAGAAAGGTTGTTTCCCCAGGTAGGGATTTTCCCCTGAAGTTAGGGAGGGAATAAAATCCCTCAACTAAGTGCCAGGCGGGTAATTAATCACTTTAACTATGAACAATCATGCTTAAGCTACATAATCTTTACTCCCTGGAATGGAGATAAGAAACGCCCTAACCTTTGTAATAGAGATTGATAGGATTGAATCAACTGGTATAAATACAGATGTAACAAGACAGAAAGAGACAGAACTTAGAAGACAGAACTTAGAAGACAGAACCTACACAGAACCTAGAGACAGAAGAACTTCGTTGGAGAGAACATGGCAAAAGATCCTGGACAGAAACTGGCAACAGAACCTAGAGACAGAACCTAGCGAGAGAACCTGGCTGAAGAACCTAGAGACAGAACCTGGCTACAGAACCTGGATAGAACATGGCAAGAGAACCTGACTAGAACCTGGTGACTGAACCTGGCTGGAGAACCTGGACAGAACCTGGCTGGAGAACCTAGCGAGGGAACATGGCTACAGAACCTGGCTGGAGATCCTGGAGAACCTGGCTGGAGAACCTAGCAAGAGAACATGGACACAGAACCTGGCTGGAGATCCTAAGCAGAACTTCACTGGAGATCCAGACCAGAACTTGGCTAGAGAACCCAACCATGCTGATCAACTGAACGCTGCCTCTGTGTCATTCCTTCTTCGCCGACTCCGTCCACACCTTTGGGGACCCCTGGACCTGCTGGGGTTGGACCCCAACAGGGAACCAGTTCCAGATCATTGATGATATTGTACCAGTGGGACAGAAGCTGTGAAGATATAACAGAAGAAAAATTTGCTCAGCTGAAGGAAGGCCTGTGTGAAGGCCTGTGTATGAAGGTTTAAGGGCTCGTCTTATGTCAGAGTCAGTATAAAGAGATCCCTAACTAAATAGATCTTGGTGAATTGTCAAAACTATACATATAAAAAAGAAAAATTATAGGGCCATCTAAAAATAAAAAAGCAAGTTATATACAAATGAATCCAAAATGGACATGCCTCAGTCTTTTCTGCAATACTAAATGCCAAAGATAATGAAATCGCTTTGAAGGGAAAAAGTTGTAATCTAAGAATTTTATATCTAGACAAATTGTGATGTATGTGTAAAGGAAAAGGCCAGATCTCAAAAACATACTATATCTTCTACGTACCCATCTTCAAGAAACTACTTGAACTTATACTCTGAGTAGAGCACACGTAAGGGCTCCAGGATGAGGAAATAATTCACAGTATTGAATACTAAAGCCAGATAAACTAGAAATACGTTTAAAATGTTGCGCCTGGCTGTGTGGCTCAGTGGTTGAGTGTCAACCTATGAACCAGGAGGTTATGGTTCAATTCCTTTTCAAGGTACATGCCCAAGGGTTGCAAGCTCGATCCCCAGTGTGGGGTGTTCAGGAGGCAACCAATCAATGATTCTCTCTCATCATTGATGTTTCTATCTCTCTCTCCCTCTCCCTTCCTCTCTGAAATAAACTTAAAATACAGTGGGGCCTTGACTTACGAATGTCCTGACTAACGAGTTTTTATGAGATACGAGGTGTCTCTCGGCCAATTTTTTGCTTTGAGTTGCAAGCTCAAAAAAATTCAGGTTACGAGCCAGCTTCATATACCCCACCGCTAGTTGGTGCAGCGAACGTCACAGTGATTTGACATACGAGTAATTTGAATTATGAGCTCCTTATGAGCTCCGTCACGGAACGAATTAAACTCATAAGTCAAGGCCCCACTGTACATATAATGTTGCAATTCTGATTGTAAAAATTAAGGCAAAAGACAATGATTATTCTAAAATACTAAAAATGAATTTAAAAACACAAGAAGGCAGGCATGGTGAGGGATACAGTAAAGGTGGGTTAAACCAGTCCTACTCATAGTGTGGTCCCCTGAGCAGCAGCATCTCCTGGAAGCTTACTACAAACAAATCCGTAGGTCCCACACCAGGCCTACAGAATCAGAACCTCTGGGTGGGACCTAGCGATCTGTGTTGTAACAGTCTCTCTAGGATTCTTAGACATGTTCAAGTTTGAGGAGCACTGAGTTAAACTCCCTTTTCAATGGTAATAGATATGAAAATACCATTTCCTGCTTGATTATAACATTTAGAGAACTATATATTATACACTGTCTAAAACAATGGAGAATGTTGGAAAGTAATTGAATATTGGAGGATAATGGAAAGGCAAAGAAAAGAGTCCATGCATCAAACAACTGAAATTTTGTTTGATGAAATTAAACAACCCAGAAGGGTGGAGCAAAGGAAAAAAGATAATCATAAAACAAGTGAAACCAAGTCAGATAGAGCCATCAAAGCAAATGGCATGATCTCCTTTATTAAAAGACAAAGGTGCTCAGGTTAATTTAAAATAATCCAATTATTAATGCCTTATTAGGGACATGCCTAGTTAATTCATTATCTTTTCTCTTTCTCAGGAAACTCTTTGCTGCTTCCTTAGCTAAAGTGATTTCCCGATTAGAATTTTCATAGCACTGTGAATGTCTCCTTCAAGAGCACCCACCGCCATGGTTGCAGTTTTAAATTTGCGTGATCATTTGACTTTCTGTCTCCTTTTCCAGACTGTAAGCTCCTTGAAGGCAGGAACCATGACTTTTTGCTCAACATTTTTGTGCCGGCATTTAGCACAGTATCTGTTTAATGAATGAAAGCACAGGGAAATGTCTCTAGGCACATGCAAACAGGTAGAAAGGAGAATCCGACCAAGTAATTGCCAAGAATTAGTAACATTAATGCCAGGCAAACTAATAAAACTGTGGTTCTTAAATGTTACCAAGCATTAGAACTTTCTAAGGGGTCTATTAAAACACGGGTTGCTGGATCCCATCCCTAGAATTTTTCTTTCAGTCTGTCTTGGTTAAGTCCTGAGAATTTGCAGCAGGTTCCCAGGTGCTGCTGCTGCTGCCGCTGGCCCAGGGACCTCACTTTGAGAAGGACTGCGCTACAAGACAGGGAAATCTTAACAAAGGGCACAGTTCGCAGTGAAGGTTTGGATCCCTGAGCCTTTGTGCATCAAACAACATTATATCTAAATACACAAAATAAATGTAGAAACACCACGAAGTGGGAGGATTTATTACAGGGAGTCTTTGGCAGAGCAGGTAGACAAATAAGATTACATAGGGATACAGGTGACCTAACAACTGTGAATCCTGCAAATAGATCTTTTCATGAATCAGTTAGAAAAATTATAAAGTTTTAATTTTATAACAAACAAATTTTAAAGTTTCTATATTGAGACAGAAATCCCACAAACAGAATAAGAAGCCAATTTGAGCAAAAATACTTGTAACTAATATCAAGAACAAAACATTGGTATTCTAATCTACAGAGTCTTAGCGATTTGAAAAAGGTAAGTATACCTATAGAAACATTGGCGGTAAACACAGAAAAGTCATGAAAGAAAAACTGCAATGAAACATGAAAAATAGTAAATTTCTTTGCAACTCTAAGAGGTGGAAAATAAAATCAGCACTGCATTATAGTTTCCCCTATCAGTCACAATTTAAGAAGACAATAATATCTAATGTTTGCTACCATGTATGGAAACAGTCATTTTCCCATCTTTCTAATTGAGATACAAATTGGCCCAATCTTTTGATAGGTAGTTGGTGCTTTGGTTATCAAAAGCCTTAAAAATGCATACCCTTCATTTATCCCATGGAAGTAATGTGCAAAGATTATGCTCAATAATCTTTATTTTGCCATGATGTGCAAAAAATAATGAGCACATGTGCAAAAATTTCTACAAGTATGTGGATCATAGCATTATTTTTATATATATGTTAAGGGAAATTTGGGGAGACATTCTAAATGTCCCCTGGTGTAGGAGGCCAGCGCAGCAAATTCTAAAGTCCAGTGGAACCATGCAGCCAATAAGTGCAGTAGAGATCGAAGTTTATTGATTGAGCAAGATGTCCACAAAGTATTGTCGATCGAATGCACCAGGTTACAAAGAGCATATAGATCGGGGCCGCCCATTCAAGGCCTGCAGCAGCCAGACAAGATGATGTCAGTGTAAGGGGAGTGAGGGGCGGGGGCTGGGGCAAGTTGAAAGGTGCAGGTTCTACCCGAGGGGTAGCTGCTACTCTTTGTTTTGGGGATTACAGATGATTGAAATTTCTCTTATTTTTTTAAAAAAAAATTTTGTATTTATCAATATTTTATAATTTTCCCCCAGTGAACAATATTACATCAGAAATTTTTAAGAAGAAAGAAGTTAGGCAGACCCAAAAGAGAGGTAAAAACAAAGTCTGGTGGGACCTGAGAGGAAGAAGTGACCTCTTCTGCTGGGGGGCATGGGGTGCTTGGGGCAGGGAAAGGTCCTGGAGATGAGGGGACCCCAGCGTGGCCATTGCAGAGGGCCTGGTAGAGAGATGGGCACTGGAGGTCAGTTTGGGTCACCACACATTTCCAGAGCACCGGGGCCTGAGGGTGGGGCGATGAGGGAGAATAGCGTGTGCCAGGTACTGTTCTAAGCACTTGACATAGAAATTTAATCCTCACAGCAATCCTATAAGGTGGTCCTATTATTACCCCCGTTTTACAGATAGGAAAACTGAGGCACAGAGAGGTTAAGAGATTTGCCCAAGGTCACACAGCTCCAAATGGCAGAGCTGGGATTTGAATTTAGATAGTAGTCGACTCAAGTGGGCTCCCAATTCTAGTTTGTTGTCCCCGAATGAGGAGGAGCTTGGGGGGAGGGAGCGCGCTGCTGCTGTTGGATGGGAGCCAGGCACCTGTTCCCACACTTTTATCTCCTTTTTGGACAGAAACCGGCAACTACACCTGTGAATTCTGCGGAAAGCAGTACAAGTACTACACACCCTACCAGGAGCACGTGGCCTTACACGCCCCCATCAGTGAGTACCTTTTGTTGTTGGGGGCGGGTGGGCCAAGCTGTAGTCCCAGGCTCTGGGGTGTTACTAGGGGAGGGTGAAACTAAAGGTGAATTTGATCTGGGGCAGTCTCTAGGTGTCCAGGTGTGATCTGGGGCCACCTTACTCAAATAGCTGGGAAAGCCCCACTTTTAAGCCAGGAAAGCCCGAGTCTTCCAACAGTGGATTCAGAGGGTGGGCACCATTCATGAGGGTGGGCACCATTCATCCAAGTCCTTCAATGTCCCTGTCCCCACCTCCTCTAAGCACCTCCAAATCATGTTCCTGGATCCCCAGCCCCAAAGCCAGCACCATGTGGTGCAGCCCCAGTCTGAACCCATGCAGAGCCTACCCCAGGCAAGGGATGGCCAACTAGACGGATAGCTCCCCTTAGTCCTTGTTGGTGAGAAGGGTGCGAAGCCGGAGTGCTAAGCCAGGACTCAGAGCCCTGGGTGTTAATCCCCGTGGATTCATAGGCTTGCATGTGACCTGGGGCAGGCCCTGTCCGATATCTGGCCTCCAATCTTTCCTTCCAGAAGGGAAATGGTTCTCAGGGCCCTTCCTACAGGGACATAGCAGCCTTCCATTCTCCTGATGCTGCCGATTCCCCAGTGCCACTTCTGGACGTTGGAGCGGGCTCCATCACCCTTCTATCCCTAGCATAGGAGCTGGAGGCCTTCAGTCCTCAACCGAAATCAGATGGAGGCGAGGCTTAACCAACTTCGCAGGGCGGGATGTTTAGGAGCGGATGTAGGAGTAACGCCTGCTTTTGTTTCTTAGGACAGAGCTGAGTGGATCCCACTCCATGATCTCTAAATGGGCAGAGCAGCAGAGGTGGAGGGTCTCCCATGGGCGAGAGCTCCCATCCTGAGATCCATAACTGGGCTAGGATTCTTGTCCTACTCAGCCTCTGACCTGTGCCTGTCACTTCCCTTCTCTGGGCTCAGGTTTCCCTTTGTGGGAGCTCTCGAGGTCTTTCCAGCCCAGGGGTCTGAATTCTAGGCATCTCCAAACCCTCAGGCAGGTAGACCAGGTGGCCCAACTAGAGGAACCAACCCTGCCAGTGAGGCTAGGGATGTATGGGCCACCCATTTCCCACCACATGTCCTGGCCTGGGTGGAGGGGGAGGATCCGGTGTCCGCTTGGTGGGCATGACCCATCATTTGACTAGTGGTGCTGGTGCTGAGTCATCAGCGCTGTGGCTGGGCTTGAACTCCATGGCCTGGACCCTCTGAGGACCCCTCTTTCCGTGGGCCGGACTGGCAGCTGTGTGTGGACATCTGTCCTGCTGCCTGGTTCTTGGAGAGGATGCCACCCAGAATGCACTTAGATGTTAGTTGCAAGGCCAGCCTGCAACCACCATGGTGTCAGCCTTTGGAGAGCACCTTCAGTGCTGCTTCTGTTCTCCCAGATTTCTGGAATAAGTTGAATACAGTCATGGAGTTAACAAGAGGTGGAGTTTGGCTTTGAACTTTGGAAAGCCATTATGAACATATCTGTCACTCCCAAAAGTTTCCTTGTGCCCTTCTAGAATTCCTTGGTCACCACTTCCCCATTCACAGGCAAGCACTGATCTGCTTCCTATCAATATAGATTGCTTTGCATTTTCTAGAATATTGCCTATACAGAATTGTACTCTTTTATTGTGTGTATGGGGGTGTCTGGCTTCTTTTACTCACCTTAATTGTTTTAAGATTCTTCGTGTTTGCATGTATCCGTACTTCATTCCTTTTCATTGATGGGTAGTAGTATTCTATTGTCTAGATACAGTAAGTTCTCACTTTAAGTCGTCAATAGGTTCTGTAATTTTAAGTGAAATGATGTATAACAAAACCAGTTTTACCATGGACTAATTGACACAAGAGTTAAGTTCCTATAGCATATCATCAATGTTATAATGAAATGGCATTGAACAAAGTTACATTATTTGAGGACCTACTGTATAGATACCACAATTTTTTTTATTCACTTATGGATGGACACATGGGTCGTTCCAGTTTAGAGCTGATACAAATAAAGCTGCTGTGAACATTTCTGCACACATCTTTGTATGGACAAATGCTTTCATTTCTCTTGGGTAAATACCTGGGAGTGGGATGGCTGGATCATATACTAGTAGCAGGTGTATGTTTGACTTTTAAGAAACAGCCCAATTGTTTTTCAAAGCGATTATGCCATGTTACATTCCAGCCAGCAGTATACTTTTCTTTTCATGTAATGTTCTTGTCTAATTTGGGTATCAGAGTAATCCTGGCCTTACAGAATGAGTTGGAGAGAGTATTTCCTGCATGGCGTGTCATTTAGATTACAGTGATTGATAATATTGTTTAAATCTCTACACCTTTCCAGGATTTTCAAAACCATATGCTTGTTCTGCCAAATACCGAGAGAGCAGAGTTAAAATCTACAACTTTAATTCTAGAGATGTTGTCTCTCCCTTTAGTTCTGTCAGGTTTTGATGCATATATTTTGAAATTTGTTTTTAAGTGCACACACTTGGGATCATTATGTCATGATGAATTGACCCTTTTAAAATTGTTCAATGCCCTTCTTTATATCTGGTAATACCCATCGTCTGAAATCTACTCCATTTGATACTAATATAGCTACTGCAGCTTTCTTAGGGTTAGTGTTTGCATGGTATATCTCTTTTCATCCTTTGCTTTTTACTTATGTGTGTTTTAAGTGCATACATAGACTAGTAGTTGGTTCTCACTCCTTTATCCAGCCCGACAATCCCTGCCTTTAAATGAAGTGTTTAACCCATTTACATTTGATGTATTATTTTGATATGGTTAGATTTAAGTTTTTTATCTTGTTGTATTTCTGTTTGTTTCATTTCTTCTTATTTCATTTTTTTGTCTTGCCTTCTTTAATATTAATCAAGAATTTTAAAAATTTCCTCTGTTAGCTTTCCACCTATACTACTTTCCCTTTAGTGGTTACTTTGTGGTTTATAATATATATCTTTAATGTATTATAATCTACCATGACTTTATATCATAACACATTATACATTATGTGAGAACCTTATCACAGTATACTTCCATTTACTACCCTCCTGTCCTTTGAGCTATTCTTACATCATACATATAAGTGTTAACATATATATCATACATAGTCTAAATAAGTTATAAAACCAACAATTATTTTTTTCTTTAGTCAATCCTGTGTTAAAGTAATTAAGAAATGAGAGAAAATGCCTTTTATATTTATTACATGTTTACCATTTTCTGTACTTTTCTTTATGTAAATCTGAATTTCCTCTATTATCCTTTTCCTTTATTCCCTGAAGAACTTCCTTGAACATTTCTTACATTGTAGGTCTGTTGGTGAAAGATTTTCTTAACTGAAGATGTTTTTGTTTCACCCTTTGAAGGACATCTTCTCTGGATATGAAATTCTGGGTTGAGAAATTTTTTTTTAGCACTTTAAGAATGTCATTATTTTATCTTCTTTGCTTATGTTGTGTCTTGTGAGAAGTCAAAGGTCATTCTGGTTGCTATTCTATACTTGATGTATCTTTTTTCTGTGGATTATTTTAAATATTTCTCTATGATACTGGCTTTAGTAATTTGATTATGGATATATAGTATTCTTTGGCTTCATCTTCTTTGGGGTTTGTTGAGCTTTTTGGATCAGTGGGTTTATATTTTTCATCAAGGAAAATTTTTAGTCAGTATTTCCATAAGTATTTTTCTTCCCCAATTTCTCTTTTGCCTCCTACTAAGACTATTGACATGTATGTTACATTTTTTTTACGATGTTTACAGATCAGTTGAAGCTGTGTTCAGTGTTTCAGCCTTGTTTTCCCTGTGTTTCTATTTGGATTGTTTCAAGTGCCCTGTTCTCAGGTTTGCTGATCTTTTCTTCTACAGTGTCTTACTTTGTTTCATTGGAAATAGCCATTAAGTGAATTTTTCATCTCAGCTATCATATTTTTTTTTTTTTTTAGCAGCTTAAAACAACATGAAATTATTTAATCACCTTTCTGTATACCAAAAGTTAGAAGGGTTGACTGGTTTCTCTGCTCTGTGTTCAGAAGTCCAAAATCAAGATATTGGCAGGGCTGAGTTCTTTTCTAGAGCTTATAAGGAAGATTTGCTTCAAAGCTCAGTTTGTTAGCAGAATTTGGTTCTCTGTGTGTGTAGGACTGAGGTTCCAATTCCCTTGCATGCTGTCGGCTGGGTTTGTTCTCAACTTCTAGAACTCGTCCGTCCCCACTCCTTAGATATGGGCCCTTTCTCTACCTTCAAAGGCAGCAATGACACATGGAATCTTCCTCATTCTTCCAGTCTCTCCAAACTTTCCTTCTGCCATATCTTTTCTGTCTCTTATATGGCATCTCTCTGATTAACTCGTCTGCATTCTGTGTTTTTCAGGGCCCATACATTTAGATTGGGCCAAGGTAGATAATCCAAGATAATTTCCCCATCTCGAGGTCTATAATCTTAATCATATCTACAAAGCCCCTTTTGCTATGTAATACATTCACCAGTTCTGGGGATTAGGCTAGGGCAGTGATGGTGAACCTATGACACACGTGTCAGAGGTGACACGCGAACTCATTTTTTTGGTTGATTTTTCTTTGTTTTTTGTGTTTTTTTTTTTAAATATATTCTATTGATTTTTTACAGAGAGGAAGGGAGAGGGATAGAAAGTCAGAAACATCGATGAGAGAGACACATCGACCAGCTGCCTCCTGCACATCCCACACTGGGGATATGCCTGCAACCAGGGTACATGCCCTTGACCGGAATCGAACCCGGGACCCTCCAGTCCGCAGGCCGACGCTCCATCCACCGAGCCAAACCGGCCACGGCATTTTTCTTTGTTAAATGGCATTTAAATATATAAAATAAATATCAAAAATATGTCTTTGTTTTACTATGGTTGCAAACATCAAAAAATTTCTATATGTGACACGGCACCAGAGTTAAGTTAGGGTTTTTCAAAATGCTGACACACCAAGCTCAAAAGGTTCACCATCACTGGGCTAGGGCCATCTTTTGAAGGGGGCATTATTCAGTCCCTCTGGCCCCCAAAGATTCACATTCATGCCACATGCAAAACACATTCACCATATCCAATGTCCCCAAAGTCTTCCTCCAATGCAGCATCAACTCAAAGTCATATTTTTTTATCTCTGTAATTTCCGCTTGGTTCTGTTTGACATCATTTCTTTCTTCATTATGTTCATGTTATCCTTTAAATCTTGGAGCATATTTATAATAGCTGTGTTAAGGTCCTTGTCTGCAGATTCTATTGTTGCTGTCATTTTTGTATGTTTCTGTTGACCGTTTTGTGTGTTTTTCCTGTTGAGTATTATTCTCGTTTTCCTGTTGCACCCGATGGCATCCTTTTTTTATTCTGTGCTGCCTGTGTGGATGCAGTGTTGTTGAGTGTCTGGACTTTGCTATCTTCCTTTGAAAAATGTCAAATTTTGTTCTGGTCGGCAGTTAATACAGATTAGCTGATGATTCAAAGGCTCACTTTTAAGCTGTGTTGGGGTGGGGTCTGGAGTACAGTAGCCTCTCCTTATCCGCAGTTTCACTTTCCATGGTTTTAGTCAACTCTGGTGTAAAAATATTAAATGGAAGATTCCAGAAATAAACAATTTATACATTTTAAGTTGCACACTGTTCTGAGTAACAGGATGAAATCTCACGCCATCCTGCTCCATCCCTCTTAGAACACGAGTGATCCCTTTGTCGACCTTATCCAGGCTACATAACTGCCCACCCCTGCTTAGTAGCTGTCTCAGTTATCGGATCGGTTGTCACAGTACACAGCGCTTGTGTTCCAAATAAGCCTTATTTTAATAAAGGCCCCAACGCCATGTACATAATTTCTATTACAGCCTGTTGTTATAATTGTCCTATTTTATTATTAGTCCTTGTTGTTAATCTCTTAGCATGCCTAATTTAAAAATTAAAATGTGTCACAATATGTATGCCTCGCAAAAAACGGTACCTCTAGGATTCAGTACTATCTGCGGTTTCAGGCCTTCATTGGAGGTCTGGGAATGTATCGCTCCTGGATAAGGGGGGATACGGTAGTCCTTGTGCTAGGGTCAGCGTAATCCTTCTGAGGCCTGGCTTCTCTGGGTCTCAGCTGAATGCCTGGGTATTCAGCAAGGTCTCCTCTCTGGCAAGTGGGACCTCAGACATCCTCTAACCTTGCACACTCCTGACTCCTCACTCACTGGCAGCCCCGCAGTCCGTTGGCTGCCAGGCTTGCAGGGGGTCCCTCTGCACGGTCCAGGAGCTCTTTGTTTTCTCCCTTCTTTGTTATCCTGCCCTTCAAACTCCAGCCACCTTGGAAGCCCTGAACTCTGACCGCTGACTCCTCAGTTCAGGGTGACCGGGGTGCTTTCTTTGGGCTTCACCTCTGTGCTCTGGTCCAGAAGGTCTCCCCAGGCAGAGAGCAGGAGGGGCTCATGGGAGGTCTTCTTCCATGACTCACAGGAGGCCCTGCACCTCCTTCTGTTCACGGTCTGAAACGGTGGTTTCACGTGTTTTGTCCAGCTTTACCTTGCGTCTGGAGGAGGGCTAGCCCTACACCAGCGGCTCCAGGGTGGCCAGAGGTGTAAGGTCTCCAGTTCTCTTCCTCAGACTAAAACCCACAAGGCTTTCCCAGATTAGACCCTGTGGATCCCGTCTCCCTCTCACTTCCACCTCCAGCCTCTGGTCCCACGGGGCCCACTTGCCGCAAATTCATTTCCACTCCCCGCTCCTTCAGGGATTCCCTGCCCCGACCCCTGGGCCCCGGTCTCTTCTCCCTCTCGGTGGCATGCTTACTTTTTTCAAATCCATCTATTCTCTGCGTGTTCTGCTCCACTTAAGCTTCCAGCTTCACAGGAAGGAGAGATCACTGTGTTCTCTTATTTCTAAATATCTCTTTTATGTGTGAATATCTCCTACGTTTCTGACAAGAGCAGCCAGCCAGTCTGTCTAAAGCTCTTCCTTTCTCTGTGAAAGCCCAGGTAGGGATTCCAGCTGGACAGCATTTCACGTGAGAAGGTCAGCACGTGGTGTAAACTACGGAATGAAATGAGACAGGCGCCTGGGAAATGCATCGTGGCTCCATCCCAAACTGCTCTGTGACCCCAGAGTGGTGCCTGTCCCTCTCTGAGCCCCCGCATCCCTGTCTGCCTATACCCTGGGGCCGTTGGAGGGTAACATGTGAGAGAGGCTTGCCTTGAGGAGAAGCTGGGGAAGGTTCTAGACTCCCAGGTTTTTCTCAGGCTCCAGGTAGGAGCGAGAGTCTTTGCTTTCTGTGGACTGAGAAGAGGTGTCCACCCTCGAGTATGGGGGGCGGAGGTGGGGGCGGTGGCTCCAGAGGCCACTTACTCTGCCATCTCCGAGGGCTCTTGGGGACTGAGAGCGTGACCCTCTCAGGTACCGCCCCCGGGTGGGAGCCACCGGACGATCCAGACACGGGCTCTGAGTGTTCACATCCAGAGGTCTCCCCGTCTCCACGCTTCGTGGCCGCGAAGACCCAGACGAACCAGTCGGGGAAAAAAGCTTCGGCCTCCGTGGTCCGATGCTCCACCCTCTTACACCGCACCCCTCCAGCCACCCAAACCCAGACGTTCCGCACTCCAAATTCAGGATCTCCAGCCAACAAGGCAACCTCAGGTACCAACGGCCTATGTCACCCCACACTCCCTCCATTCCCCCTCCCCCCACCTGCCACAGCTGTGCCCGGGGTCATTGTTCCCTTGCAAGAGCAACAGTGGGGGTCCCATAGTTCTGTGGGACGAATCTGGGTCCTAGCTCTGCCTCTGACGGGCCCTGAGACCTTGGCGAGCCGCCTAACTAACCTCTCTGAGTCTAAGTTTTTCTTATCCTAAATCAGAGGGTTGCACAAGAGAGTTTGCAAAGTTTTCTCTTTTTAAACAAGAGAATATTCTCCCCCACGTCATGGCCTGAGGTGTTTTTAAAAACTGCTTTAAATTCCTTGCCAACATTTGGACGCTAGGAGGATTTATGTGAAACTTGATCTCCAGCTGACATGGACAAGCCAGCTCCGGCCGTTCCGGGCCCACTTTCCTGCAGTGCAACAATTGGCTTGGGCTGAGCCACAGCTGCCTCCTGTATTCATAGAGCATGTGCTCTCTAGTTTTCCACAGTCCCCACCACTCCCTCCTGCCTACCCAACACAAGAGCCATGAGGCGGGTGCCATCTCTCATTGTGATCACACTGTTGTCTGTCTGACATGCAGCCCGGTTCATCCATTCATGTCCCTGCCTGGAACCCCCTCGGCATGCGTTTGCATCCCCCATCTTTCCGAAACCCAGCCTAAGAACTCATTTCTACGAAGAGCTGTTCTCCTCCAAGCAGGGTGGCTGGCCGGAAGCTCTGTGCTCTTGGCCTCCCGCTACTCGTGAAATCGCTCCCTGGGCCGTGGCCCAGCAGGAGACCAATGGATGCCAGCTCCAGTGTTTTCTGGTCCAGGCGGAGCAGGGCTCCGACCCCCGAAGGGTGAACAGAAGTATTTCTCCCAGGAAAACAGATAAGACGCATGTGTGCTGAGCGCCAGTTATTAGGAACCCTGACTGATGCCCAGATGGAATGAGCCTTGGGCGCCTGCCTGTGGGCGGAGGGTAGAGTGATGTAGGACAGAGGGATGATGTGGCCCTTCTGGGATCAGGGACCTTTCAGTTGCTGTCAAGAGGCCCACAGCCATCCGTTAAACATACAAGTGATCAGACTGTGTTCAGTGACCCAGTAGGTTGGGCTGGCGGTTGGCGAGTTGTGTTTGCCATTATTCTTTGGTTCGTGGGCTACTGTGGGGCAAGGATGTGTTCGCCAGAAGTGTTTGAAGATAGGCTTACGAAGTTTAGATGTCCCGGAAGGAGAGTAAGTACGTAATCAAGCTTGAGCATCATGGATTTTCAGGTACTGCGTTGAGAAAAGCCGATAGCCGTTGTATTTTTCTAGAAACAGGCTGGTCCTCATGGGCTCGTCGGTGGTAGATGTTGGCTCAGCTAACTAATGGGATCCCAAGTTTCAAATGTTTGCTTTTTCTTCTTGACCTTATGGCTGGGAGTTTCCACGTCTGTAGTTCCTGCAGGGAGCTGCCTGGAAGGGGCAGCTCTTGGACCTCAGTGTCCCCAAAGAAGCATCCCGGAAGCTCTGGGACTTGCTTCTAGCTGCCTTTATGTGACCTGGGAGACTTGGGGCTGGGGGCAGAGCAGGTGGGCAGAGCAGAGGACACCAGGTTTCGGCAGGAACCTGCACGGGAGAGCTGGAAGTGGTCACCGCCTTCACCGTGTTGGAACAGGCAGCTGTTCCTGGGCGGAGGTGCGGGCCTGTGCCTGGGACCTCACCCACCGTACAGCCCACTGGTTTGTGGCCGGAGGTGCCCGTGGCAGGGAGAGCCGATCAAGTTTGCATTATGAGCTGAGTACTGGGAAACGAATCATGACCTCAGTTGTCAGTTCTGCCAATAAATTGGCGAGGCTGCATGAAAGTCCCCCGCAGAGGGGTCACCTGCACGCACGAGGATTAAGATGCAGAAAGGACTCACTTGTGAAAAAGGACGCGTCTGCCTGTGCGAGAATGAAGTCTCATTCTGCCGTCTTAGAGGATTAGCAGCATGTTCAGCCCCGGGAACGTGACAGCCTCACTTTCCTCTGGGTGCGTGTGTGTGTGTCACCTATAAAATGGAAGTGACGGTGTGGACCTCACAGAGCTAGTGGGAGAATTAAGAGAGACCCTGGGTGTAAGGCATCTAAATCAGTGCCTGGCATAGAGTAGGCGCTCAGTAAATGAGTGCACCCCCCCCCTTCCCCTAGGCAAAGAACTGAGGTGCTTTCGTTGCCCATTTAAAGATGACTTCTTGAAGGAGGCAGGTATGGAGCTCTCGGCCCAGGCATTCTATGGATGCGTTTTGAAGAGAGGGTTATCTTTGTGTTGTGGACAGCCTCTGCGGAAAGGAGGCTGCCTCAGGAGACGTCGTTGGGGTCAGGGAATGGGACATTGAGCAGGACCTGTAGGAGCCGCCTCTGGCTTCCTTTCCTGTCACCCGATGATCGCCCAGAACCCCGGCCCCCACAGCCTGAGCGAGAGCCCTCTGGCATGGGGTGGACTGGGTGACAGTGGTATTTCCCACAGTGAGTTCCTGAAACCACCATTTTTTGAGGAATAGTAAGGAATCTATCCAATAATTTAAAAGTAGGTGCCTTAGCTTCTTTGGCTCAGTGGATACAGTGTCGGCCTGTGGACTGAAGGGTCCCGGGTTCAATTCCAATCAAGGACACATGCCCAGGTTGCTGTCTCGATCCCCAGTAGGGGGCATGCAGGAGGCAGCTGATCAGTGATTCATCATTGATGTTTCTCTCTCTCCCTCTCCCTTCCTCTCTGAAATTTATAAAAATATATTTAAAAATAGGCTTGCGTGGCCAAATCCATTTGGAAAGGCTGGATTAATAAAGCCTGACGGACCTCTTTTCAGTGAACTTCTCCGAGCCTTTGACACGGTGGTGCAAGTTGCTTCTCCCTAAGAAAGGGGCTGGGTCAGCTGTTCCACCCTGTGACTTGTTCCCAGAAGTCTTTGTCTCCTGGAGCATCCGGCACCCATTGTGCCAAGAGCTTGGAAAAGCCAAGTCCCCTCCCAGCCTGGATACTCAGTTTCAGTACCTTCTGCAGGTGGGGGAGAGGTGGACACTAAATTGGTGTTTTCCACCTTGAATTCTGCCTCTGCCTCTGGGGTTACAGGCAGCGCCTGGGAGAAGGTGAGCCACTAAGAAAAGTGCCACCTGTAAGCGGAGATGCCCAAGAAATCATCAGGAGCTAGTCCTTAACCCGGGTGAACTCTGACCGGACCTCACCTGGTCTTTGGCCTCCTGGGGTGTGGGCTGCCCCCACTCTGCCTGGCACACCTTCTCTCCAAGGCGCTCCTTGCCACCCAGGGACCACTGGGCATGTGGAGCTGCCCAGCCCACCTGCTCTGCCAGAACTGCCTTCAGGAGACAGTCTGCCCTCCTCCCTGCTCCGCTGTGGGGCCTGAGACAGCGGAATCTGGCATAGGGACCGGTGGGCACAGGCCCACATTACTCAGTGGCCCACGTGTGGCTCCCCAGGGGCCCGGATGGGAGACCCAGGCCCATTGCTGTCTGCTCACTTGGCTGGATTTCATCTGCGAGCTTCTGGACAGCTCACCCACACATGCCCCCAGGCCTGGACCTCCACCCCCCCCCCCCCGGGCACTGTCCGGAGGGTCTCCTGGGGCCCTGACAAGGTATCAGGCGACTCAGGTGAGCTTGAGGAGCTGGGGCTCTGGTTTGGGATCCTGGAGCTCCTCATTGCCTGATCCCCCCAACATCAAGCCCTGGGCCTTCCTCAGCCTCTGAGCTGCCTCTGGCATGCCCCCGACCCCTTTGGATCTAGTGCTGATCAGTCACCGTCGTTTTCTCTCGCTCTCTCCTGTCCCCACCAGCAGAAAGCGCTTTCAGTCGGAGAGTAGAAAGCAAAGCACAAAACCACTTTGAAGAGACGAACAGCAGTTCCCAAAACTCCAGCGGTGAGTGTGCCCTGTGCCAGGCGCCCTGTGCTGCGGTTGCCGGCTCCGTCTGCTCCCCCCTGTGGGCTGGGGTCTCCATGATGCATGCTGGTGGTGTTGGGAGGGGCTGAGAATTAGGAGGCCAGGGCTGGGCAGAAACCCAGGGGCCTAGTCTTCCAGGGGCCTCCTTCTGGGCCTGGGGGGCATCTCGGGGGACTGTGGCCCTTCCTGTCTCTTCCCCATGGAGAGAGGAACTCGCCCTACCCCATAGCTTGCAACACCTACACGCATGGCCCCAGAGAGCTGAGCCTAAAAGAGCCATTTCTATATTTTTAGGGAAAACATCAGCCATTTTCTTTCCAGCAAGGCAATGGGGTTACAGCAGAGAGAGCTGTGGCCTGGTAAGCCAGAGGCCCAGAGTTCTGGCTCCACTTCGGACCAGGAACCATCCAACGGTTTCCTTCCAGCCCCTGCCCGCCCAAGGTTTGCCTGAGGTTCCTGGCAGTGTTTTGGCGCCCCCTGGTGGCTGCCTCCGCCAAGACCCCGGCAGAACAGAGAGGGCCTTAGAACAGAGCTGCCCAAGGCCCCTCTCCCCAGATAGACCTGGGTCAGCCCGGCGGGGCCGTGAGGGGTCACCAGCTGCCTCTGTCCGAAAAGGCATAGCCAGGCGGTCTGCACAGTGGCAGGCAGGGCAGGAAGGGAAGGAGAAAGAGTTCTGACACTGGTTATAGTAAAGCAAGGCACCCCCTCTCTCGCACAGTTGAGGTTCCGTTCGTCATACTCGGTTCCCACTTGTGCCCCGCATATCCTGGGCACTGCTTGTGTATAGACAGATGCTGGGCGCAGCCTGACCGTCCATCAGGGGCTTCATGAAACAGTTGGGAACACAGGTTTGAATGTGGAGGCTTCTGCGTAGGAATCTGAGCCCCAGCTCTGTCTCCAGCCAAGACTCGAACCTCAGCTCCGCCCCCTGTGAGCTGGTGGCTGGGCCTGGACTCTCAATTCTCCTGCGTTCTAAAGTGGGGATAGCACAGACGTCCCTGCGTGGTGAGCATTCAGCAAGTGTCCTGCAGAGATTACGTACCCACTCACGTAATCTCTTTAAGTAAACCCAGTTATTCTACGAGGATCCTGAGCAAGGGAGTGAGGGGTGCTGGGGTGGCCCTGACAGGACCCCTTCACTGTAGAGAACGTGTCAGCTTTTCCAAGCTGCTTCAATCCTTTTGAAAAATGTAATCCAGCAGCATCTCCAACAAGTGGGCTTAAACGTGGTGGCGTTTTGCCCAAGGCCACACAGGATTAAGCATCAGGACCGGAGCCCTGGCCTCCCGGGAGTCTCTGCTCTGAGCCAGCCAGGCTGCACCCCTGCCTCTCCTTCCACCAGAGCCGATAAACAGAACTGGAAACTGGCTGTGTGAAGGGCAGACACCGTTTACTGAGCGCTTACTCTGTGCCTGGCATGTGTTCAGAGCTGTGTGTGTCTTTCCTGTCTTCACGTGTGCCCCAGCCCCAGGAGGAGGGTTATCTTTCATTTGGGGGTGAGAAAACGGAGGCTCAGGAGAAGGGGGTAGTTGCCCCAGGTCCCCAGCTTGTACGTGGTGGAGCCAGGACCCCAGCTGAGTCCGCCCGCACCACTCTGCCACCTCCTGCGTCTGAGGCTCGCCTGGCAGCACCCGGCAGCGTGGGGCAGGTTCCAGCAGGCAGAGCACCTCACAAGCACAGCCCTCGGGGCCAGAACCTCGAAGCAGCTTCCCGTCCTGAAGCCGAGCGTGGACGTTCTCACTGTGCTCTGTGGGCTCACCTTTGGAGAGCTGAGTGTGTCCTAGAGGGGTGGCCCTGGCTGCCATTGCGCTGCCCAGTGTCCCAGCCCCACCCCGGAATCTGAGCCTGGCTCTGTGCTCCCCTCGTCTGAGGGCCCCATCTGGCTCACCACTTGTTAACAATGGAAATAATGACGGTCATCTGAGAGCACCAGACCTGGAGGAGACCTAGCTAAACTGTTTCTCTTTTGCAGAAACTGCAAGTCCCCTGATTTCCAATACTTTCCCTCTCCTACAGAGTAAGTGGTGGTCCCATGGGGGGCTGGAGAGGGCGAGGCCGGGCAGGGAATGAACGGAGTGGCCCCAGCTCTCAGGGCCTCCCCAGAGCATCTGACCTTGGGCCGCCCTCCCAGGCAGACAGGGCAGCTAGTAGCGCAGGAGGAGTGCCCAGCCTAGGCGGGTGGAGGAGTTGGCACGGGGGACGAGGCAGACCCCCGACAGTGGCAGCCGCCTCTGTCCCCCAGCCCTGCAGGAACACAGACCTCCCCATGTCAGCCATCCTCCTCCTCTCCTTATCCTTTCCTCCTTTGTACCCCTTCTTCCTCCCTCGTCTCTTGGGCATTGACTCGAGTATTGGGAACAGAGATGAAAGATAAAGGCCCACTTGTCCTGGTCCTGTGTGCTGTCATCCTCCCTTCTCTCCCGCCCTCTGCCTCTTCTCTGCCCTTTCCGCGTCTTGTCCCACTTCTTGCTTTTCTGTGGCTTTCTCCCCTTCTTACCCTGTTCTCCAGTGTCTTCTTCCTCTCCTTTCCTCTGTGTGCATTGCCTTGTTTGGGGGTTCATTCATACATTAACTCATTCGTTTGCTCAGCAAACAGTGATGCCCATGTGCTTCTACAGGCAGGCAGATGGGCCGGGGAACCAATAAGACCCGGTCTCTGGCTGAGAGCTCCTGTCCCTCCTCCAGCCCATCTGCCCCACGCACCTCACCCCCAGTGCCCAGACAGGGCCTGACACACAGTAAGCACTCAGTAAATGGCTGCCTGACCGCATCAGAGGCTCTCTGAGGCCGCATGTCCCCGTCTCCCCATCAATCCTTCCTGCCCCCGGCCTCCCGCTCACCCGTTAGTGCCAGGGGCAGGTCAGGCTGGGCCCAGAGCCCCAGTGTGTGTTGGGGTTCCCAGTTCCCAATCTGCCCACAGCCCAGCAGGAAGGCGCCCAGGTCCTTCTGCCCCTAAAACGGCTGCTTCATTTCTCCCCGCAGAACCCTACACGTGTGGCGCCTGTGGGATCCAGTTCCAGTTCTACAACAACCTGCTGGAGCACATGCAGTCCCACGCAGGTAAGCGCCCCCACAGCCCATTGGGGCGCTGCAGCACCCCCTTCCTCCCCCTCCCCCCCCCAGACCAGGGAAGGCCACTCTTTCCCAGGAAATGGTCACAGGACATGGGACCTGCCTTCAGGATCCCCAGTCCTTCGGGGTGGGGTTAGTGGGGACAGCAGACTCGGGAGAGCACAGAGAGTGGCACGGGGCTGAAGCAGGCTTCTGGAAGGTTGTGGCTCCCATGTTGAACCTAAAGGCCAAATAGGAACTCACCAGGGAAATGTGAAGGTGGATGTTGAGTGTGACTTGAGGTCAGAGTGAGCAGAGGCCAGAGATGCGAGTGGGGAGGCCCAGGGAAGGCCTTGAATGCCAGCTTGGGGCATTTAGACTTGACCTTACGGGGAATAGTGACAGCAGTTGAAGGCTGCTCAGGGACCACAGTTGAAGGCTGCTCAGGGACCACGGCCTGAAACTCCCACAGCCCACTCCCTCCCTCCCTCCTCTGAAGCCCCAACCCTCCACCTGCTCTGCCCGCCTCTGGAAGCTGAGGCTAATTAGGGAAGAGTCTGGAGCCAGTGCTAGGCCATGCCTCAGGCAGTTGGGCAGAGGCCATTAAAATGCAAATCAAGGCTGCACCTCCTGGTGGCCCCACCTCCTCCAGCACCTCCACTTTTTCCATGAAGAGCTTTGGGCCGCTTTGTTCTGGTCCAGTGCCGGCAGAGAATGCGGGAAGCAATCCCGTGCAAAGCCAGGCTGAGTCCCAGCCAGGCTGCGTCAGGATTAAAGGATTGACTCCAAAGAGAGAAATTAAACGTCATGATCTGCGCAGTTCACAGCGCTGCTGCGAAGGGGGATCAGCCTCGAATAACACCAATCTCATTAAGAGGCTGCTGAAAGGCACAGGGTAATTCCTGCTAATAAACTTCCTGTCGGTGCTGGAGGGAAACCTGTCTTGCTTTGTAATAGGTCAGGAGCCTGTTTTGTCAGGAATAATACTAAAGACAGCTAACAGTCAGTGAGCGATCAGTATGTGTCAGGTGGTTATTTCGTTTGATCTGAACAAGCCTGTTCGCCAGCTGACAGGATCCCATTGTACAGATGAGGCAACTGAGGCTCAGAGAACAGAATCACTGGTCTAAACAGCTATTAACATGATCTGAGCTCTTCCTTGGTGCCAGAACTTATTCTCAGAGTTTCGCACATATTAGCTCACTTAACCTCAGAACATCCCTCTGAGTTAAGTGTATTAGCTCCACTTTACAGATAAGGAAATAGAGGCACAAAATGGCCTAGTAACTTTCTGATAAATGTACTGAAAAGTCCAAGGCTATGCAGTCACGATGTTAGCCCCATGCTCTTCCTCCTTCCTGCATTGGTCCCTCCCTGGGGGACAGCCTTTCTTCCAGCTTTGCATCCAGCCCCTTGTAGACCAGACGTGAGTGTGTGTATGTGCGCGCATGTGTGTGTACCTGTGTACATAGGGATAGCCACACAGAGTAAATGTTATGTCCAGCTCAAGCTGTAAGTCAAGCCTTTTTACAGAGCATTTACAGCACCTCACCCATGCAGTAGCAGCATCTGAGATATGGAGGGAACATTTTATTTTGTTTTATTCAACCGATACCAGACTGTTATCTAATGCTAGGCTGAGTAATTTGGATTCCAAGTCCCGCGGACAGTCAGAATGAGGGAATGACCCTGCAGCTTGTCCAGCCCCAGCGTTTTGGAGGTAGGAGGGGAAACTGAGGCCCAGAAGTGACGAACTCATGGTCACACCCACAGCCCTGGCAGAGCTGGGTTCAAACCCAGGCCTTCCAGATCCCTGTGCTCTAGTGGAGAACGTCCACAAGAAAGGCTGCCGGTTTCCATTTTAAAATCTGCGCTCCCCCTTTTTAAATGTAAGATCTGTTCATTAAAAGAAATTCGGGAAAATGCAGAGAAATTGGGAAATGAAGAACGGGTCCTAATCTCAAAGTTAACCACTGTTACTCTTTTAATGGGTTTCTCTTCAGTCGTTTTAAAGTCAGATTCATTGGGATATAATTTACAGAAGTGAAGTTCTCAAGTTTAAGAGTATAGTTGGACGGGTTAACCATCAACCCAGAATGCTCCCTCCTGCCTCCGTGCAGCCAGGCCCTCCCTGCATCCCAGCCCTGGAAACCACTATTCAGATTTTCTGGTTTTTGAATCATTTTTGGTAGTTTATGTCTTTCTAAGAATATGTCTCTTTCATTCAGGTTATCTAATCTGTTGGACGACTACTGTTTGTAGTATTTCTTTATAATCCTTTATAGTATAAAAATCCTTTTTATTTCCATCAACTTTTCTCTGATGCTCTTTACCAAGTAGATGTTTCCTTCTCTTCCTAGTTTGCTCAGAGTTTGTGTTGTGGGTGGCTGTTGAATTTGGTCATATTTTAATGTGCATTTATATCTGTGGGGATGATTTTTCTATTTGTTTTTTCCACTTAGTATAGGGCATTACACTGATTGGTTTTCAATTATTAACCTCAACTTGGATTTCTGGGATAAACTCCATAGTCATGATATGCTATTCTTTTTATATGTTACTGTATCTAGCTTGCTAATATTTTGGTAACGACTTTCATGTATATGTTTACGAGGGATATTGGTTGTCGTTTCTTTTCTTGTAATGTTTTTCTCTAGTTTTGGATCAGGATAATGCCAGCCTCATAAACTAAATTTCTAATAAATATACTGAAAAGTCCAAAAAAAACCACACTTTGAAGACGTGAGAGTGTGAAATGCTTTAGAGTGTAACTGGAACCCCTCCCCCATTTCAGAGCTAGAATTCTGGGGTTGTGTGTGTGTGGGGGGCGTGGGGGGGGGACCTCCCAGCCAGACCCGGGTGCTGTGATCCCCACCTGCTCAGCACTTACTCCACGCCGGGCACCGTGCTCCGCCCTTTCCCTGCGCTATCTCTTGTTAGTCCTTCCAGCAGTTGTGTCCCATCTGTGTGATTATCTTCATTTTTCCAAATGATGAAAACGAGGCTTCGCAAACCTATGGGAGCTGTGTGAGGAGGAGCCAGGATTTGGCTCCAGGCCAGTCCCAGGGGCCATGCGTGCCCGCCCCCGCCCCGCTCTAGTTCTCGTCTGTCAGTCCACAGGCCTCTGATACTGTCGGGTGACACACCGTCCCCTTTGTGCCCACAGCCGACAACGAGAACAACATCACCTCTAACCAGTCCCGATCGCCACCTGCTGTTGTGGAAGAGAAGTGGAAGCCCCCGGCCCAGAGGAACAGCGCCAACAACAGTAGGTCTCTTCCAGGCTGGAGCCGGGGACTCGCGGAGGTCTGCCCCACGCACCTCCAGCCCCCGCTCGGGTTGCTCCCTTCTGCCCGCATCCCCGCCCCTGTGCCTCCCAGGGAGACGGAAGGCCATGCATAACAGTTTCCAAAGCACTTTCACACTTACTAGTAAGAACTCATCGGGTCGGCAAAAGGAGGCCTGGGGAGAGGAGGTGATCTGTGTGTGATCAGAGTGCAAATTGGTGACAGGATCAGAACTGGCATCCACTCTCAGTTTCTGTTGGTTGCTCTTTCCTGACATGTTGGCCTCCTGCATTTTGTTCACTGGAGGCGCCTTTATTAGCAGCCGTTGCTATACTGAGGAAGAGATTAGGCCAGTGGTCGGCAAACTGCGGCTCGCGAGCCACATGCGGCTCTTTGGCCCCTTGAGTGTGGCTCTTCCACACAATACCGACTTCCACGCATGGGCCACGAAGTTTCAATCACACTGTACGTGCGGGCCCGCACATGGTATTTTGTGGAAGAGCCACACTCAAGGGGCCAAAGAGCCGCATGTGGCTCGTGAGCCGCAGTTTGCCGACCACTGGGTTAGACTAGTTGGCTTCAAAAGTCTGGGTGACTGGCCCATGCAGCAAGTATGCTGCACACATACCACTATGTTGTATTCCCACGCCCATGACAGGCATTATCAATCCATCAGTCATAGAATGTTATTCTCGTGAAACTCATGTAATTTCTGTGCAAGATGAAATCTGTTCATAATTCCTAATAATAGATGCTGGGAGTATTAGTCTGCTGCTGGATCAAGGAGCCTCAGATGCCAGGGTTAATCCGATCTCTCCTTGTGTCCCCTGCCAGCCACGGCCAGCGGTTTAACATCCAACAGCATCATCCCCGAGAAGGAGCGGCAGAACATCGCAGAGCGGCTGCTGCGGGTCATGTGCGCTGACCTGGGAGCGCTGAGCGTGGTGAGTGGGAAGGAGTTCCTGAAACTGGCCCAGACGCTGGTGGACAGTGGCGCCCGCTACGGGGCTTTCTCCGTCACCGAGATCCTGGGCAACTTCAACACGCTGGCACTGAAGCACCTGCCGCGCATGTATAACCAGGTGAAGGTGAAGGTGACGTGTGCCTTGGGCAGCAACGCCTGCCTGGGCATCGGCGTCACCTGTCACTCGCAGAGCGTGGGCCCCGACTCCTGCTACATCCTCACTGCCTACCAGGCCGAGGGCAACCACATCAAGAGCTACGTGCTGGGCGTGAAGGGAGCGGACATCCGTGACAGCGGCGACCTGGTGCACCACTGGGTGCAGAACGTGCTGTCAGAGTTCGTGATGTCGGAGATCAGGACAGTGTACGTGACGGACTGCCGGGTGAGCGCGTCCGCCTTCTCCAAGGCCGGCATGTGCCTCCGCTGCTCAGCCTGTGCCTTGAACTCGGTGGTGCAGAGCGTGCTGAGCAAGCGGACGCTGCAGGCCCGCAGCATGCACGAGGTCATCGAGCTGCTCAACGTGTGCGAGGACCTGGCGGGCTCCACCGGCCTCGCCAAGGAGACCTTCGGGTCGCTGGAGGAGACGTCGCCGCCGCCCTGCTGGAACTCGGTCACGGACTCGCTGCTGCTGGTGCATGAGCGCTACGAGCAGATCTGCGAGTTCTACAGCCGGGCCAAGAAGCTGAACCTCATCCAGAGCCTCAACAAGCACCTGCTCAGCAACCTGGCGGCCATCCTCACGCCGGTGAAGCAGGCGGTCATCGAGCTGAGCAACGAGAGCCAGCCCACCCTGCAGCTGGTGCTGCCCACCTACGTCCGGCTGGAGAAGCTGTTCACGGCCAAGGCCAACGACGCGGGCACGGTCAGCAAGCTGTGCCACCTCTTCCTGGAAGCCCTCAAGGAGAACTTCAAGGTGCACCCGGCGCATAAGGTGGCCATGATCCTGGACCCACAGCAGAAGCTGCGGCCGGTCCCGCCGTATCAGCACGAGGAAATCATCGGCAAGGTGTGTGAGCTCATCAACGAGGTCAAGGAGTCCTGGACGGAGGAGGCCGACTTCGAACCCGCCGCCAAGAAGCCGCGCTCTGCCGCCGGCGAGAACCCCGCCACTCAGGAGGACGATCGGCTGGGCAAGAGCGAGGTGTACGATTACCTGCAGGAGCCCCTCTTCCAGGCCACCCCTGATCTCTTCCAGTACTGGTCGTGCGTGACCCAGAAGCACACGAAACTCGCCAGGCTGGCCTTCTGGCTCCTCGCGGTCCCGGCCGTGGGGGCCAGGAGTGGGTGTGTCAGTATGTGTGAGCAGGCGCTTCTCCTCAAAAGGAGGCGACTGCTCAGCCCCGAAGATACGAACAAACTCATGTTTCTGAAGTCCAACATGCTTTAAGACTTCTACTTCCGAACAAGAGAAAAGCGAGAGAGAACGGTCGGGAAAAAATTTACACCACACTGTCGCCAACAAAGGGAAGGAGTTTAAGTTCTAAACACTGTGGACCTCATTCTAAACGCCCCCTGGGAACTTCAGTGCTTTTTCCAGTGTGTGTGCATGTGTGTGTCCCAGCACGTGGGCCGTGGGCGCGGGCGCGAGGCTCTTTTGCTCATCTGCGTGGCCGTGGTAGCTTCGCGCACGCGTGCACACACATACTACCCTGGTGCATGTCCACGCCTGCTCGTGGGCGCGTGTGCATTAAACTGGGCGTGTTGGGAAAGCCGAGGGTGTGGGAAAGAGGGAAAACGCTCACCTTGTTTCCTTCGGCCAGGGGCTTCGAAGACTTGGTTTTCAGGTGCGCAGGTTGGTAGGACGCCGATGTTGCAAAGTGTTCAGGCAGCTGAAATCTGAAGTGACTTGACGCGCTCTGTCCTCAGCCCATGGTCCCCCTTTTCCCTTCATGCCCCCTCCCTCCAGCCCTCCTCACCCTAATGCACCCTCCCCGGCTGCCCCGCCCTCCCCGGCTGCCCTGCGATGGATTCTCCAAACTGCATCAGATGGACAGTTTCTGCACTGGACTTTGTTCTTGTTCACCTTCAGGGCATTGAGCAGCTGCCTTCGAGACACTGGCGGGTGTCACGGGGCAGCCGCCTTAGAAACACACCTATCTATCTCCCCAGATCAGGAAAGGAGACTTTAAGAATAGAAAGCTGACTTTTGGCTTTCTAATATAAGAAGAAAAAAAAAAAATACATATTTCAGAGAAGTATAGATACTATCTCCACTCCTTAATTCTCTTCCTAACATTTTAGCCGTTTTTACCTTTTGGTTTTGTTTTTTCAGATTTGATTTAGACTCTGCTAGGAGGCACTGAATGTCTATAACTTATGTTTTGAAGGTTGTTTTTTTTTTTTAATTGCCATTTTTGTTCCTCAAGTCACACTGTAAACTAGCTCATCTCAGTGGTATATTCGCTCTCCTACGGTTTCCATTAGCCTTCCCTGTACAGTCCCGTGTCTGTGTATTCGAACAGCCAGGACCACGCACTGGTCTGTGCTGTGTGGAGACCAGGAGTCGGGTTGGAGTCACAGGTTCCATGGGGGTGGGGTTCGGTGGAAGCCATAGGGACGCCTGTGGTTGAGGATTTCTCCTGAATGTAAGTGAAGGCCCGCCTTCCTGGCTCGCCGCGTCCGCTCCTGCGAATGTCCGACTGATATACCCAGAGTGCATTACACCACTCGCCACATCACTGACACTCTCAGCTCAGCAGGGACTCAGCAGGGACTCCTGAGCTGATCCACGTTCACGTCCGTCACACCTCAGACCCACCACCTCCCCACCCCTCCCCAGGACCCCAGGGGTTCCGGTGGGTCTGTTGCTCACAGCCCTGGGGTCCCCACACTCGAGCCTCAGCCCTCCTTCCAGTAAATAGTTGCGCGCGGTGCCTTGTGGGCCAAACGATGGATGTCTGGAGGGTGGAATGGCATGAGGCCACACTGAACGATGCTGTGAAAGATGTCCGTAGGCTTTTCTCTCCACGAGCAGTTCCGTTTGTACACACTCAGTCCAAACACCGAGGGTGGGTGCGCCCCCCCCCCACCCCCCCCCCCCGCCATCTAAGAGGTGGTTCCGCCAGGATCAGTGATCAGCCCTGGCCCACCTCTCTGTGAATAAAGTGCTGGTGGTCTCCCGTCCTCCGGTGCCCATGGCTGTGGCCTGGAGATGGCGACACCAAGGGCTTCAGGCTGAGGACGGCCACGTGGCTTCCACAACGGCACATTCTGCCGTCTCGGGGGGCTAGGGCGACTCCACCCCTTCCTCCTAAGAAAGCATTACTCAACTGCCAGATACCTCGACTACAGAAAGCACTGTACCCTGCCCTCTCCTGGCCCATGGCAGATGGGCAAGCGACGCTGGTATAGAAACACTGTCCCGGGGGCCTCTCCTGCTCACTTTGCCTCATGAGAACCACCCCTCCGAGACTTGGATGTACTGCAATGTATGAGAGTGGGCGTGGGCACGTTCTCTCCAGCAAAGCCATGGCCTCAGCCACCGCCCTGCCACTTCCTCACCCAGAGAAGGGCTAGGTGTTTCCCCTCAACGTCTCCAGCTGGGCTCACACCATCAGAAGAGCCTCCATTCGCACTGGCCAGTCACCTGATGTCACTTCCTAGAGTGTCTCGGCAGACTTCGGGCCTCCGGGCCTTGCAGAAGGTGGCTGCAGGGGTGCTGAGGAGTGACAGGTACCTCCAGCTCCAGGTTCCTCCCGCCCTGCTCTGCTCTGCTGCCAGGGAAGGGGCCACACCAGGAGGGTCAGAGCTGCTCCCTTGGTGTGGTCGGTGGAAACAGCCTTGGGCCCATCCTCCCTCTACGTGGAGCAGAGCTGTGTGCTGGTGTTGCCCCGTTTTTCGGCCAGTTCGTTAGGAAGTAGGCATTTCATTTTCTTGTAAAGCCATCAGAGACCAAGTCCAGATGTGCATTTAGAGTCTTTGGACCACGGGATGTCAGCCCTCCAGAATGAAATTCGAGTCTCACTAAATTCTAGGTACCGAGTCACGTGTCGTCATCTGGTCTTCCGTTCCACCTGAGTTTAGTCCTTAGGACAGGCGCTGAAGCTGTCTCCTGGGGCTGCCTCGACCACCTGTGGTGACGAGGTGGCAGGTAGCCATCTCTCTCTCGCAACCTCTGGATCCCCAGAAGCTGGTGTCGCCCCTCAGCCTGCTTCCTCACGCAGGCAGTTCCCATAGTGCAGATCCTGCTGCCACCAACTGCTTAACAACCCAAAGATCTCACAGGTCCAGCCACTGGCCCCCGATTTATAGCAATATCCACCTTGTTCAGATTCTAGCTCAGCCAAAGGATGGAGGTGGGCTCTTCCACTTAATCTCCAGGCACCGGACCTGGCCTTGACCTACGGAAGGGTCTTGTCTCCTGCTTCCTGCTCCTCTGACAGCTGTGGGGCTGCCCAGCACAGGCCCGTGGCAGCTGGCAGACCAGGGACCGTTCCTGTCATGTTCTGGGCAGCTCCAGGTGTTCGCCTGCTGACTTGGACACAACTCGTCTCAAGCCACGTGATTCCCAGGACAGAACGGGCCTTTGCTTTGGTGTACACAGACCCAAGAGGAGACTGCGGGGTTGGCCCCTCCCCTGAGGTCAGCTGGCTTCCCCACCCAAGCCCAAAGGACTGTGCTTCGTGGGTGGTCCTCAGATTTGGAGTAGCCAGGGGGTCTCGACTCCACCAAGAGCAGCGGTGCCATCCCAGTCATCGCGAGTAGATGCTCCTGTCCCAGCAACGTCCTGCCTTCCCTGCGCCTCGGTCAGCCAGCCAGGCCTCCCCCCCGGGTGGTAGTTAGAAACCAGGAAACACAAGGGGAGGGGCCACCTGCTGCGTCTGCTTCCAGCCCACCTGGCAACCTCATGCTTGGCCTTCAGAGTGGCTGTTGGCTGGGCAAGGCCTGATGGCACACTGAGGAGTGTGGGCCTCTGGGATTCCAGGAAGGACTGTTTGTCTACACCAGGTCCAGAGGCTGCCAGGAGTTCTCTCCTTCGGTTTGCTCCTGTCCTTCGCTTTCAAGAAACACCGGAGGCAAACTGCAGGGCAAGTTTTCCACTGTGACGCCGAGCTTCTGTCTTTGGGAGTCCCCGTGCTTGCGGGAGGCTGCCTGCCTCCTCCTGGACTTGGACCGGGCTCCTTGGAGAGTGCGTGGGCCCCTGGAGGGATGTCAAGGATACAGCGCATGCTCTCTGGGCTCCACAGGGTCACAAGGAAGGTTAGAAATGAGGCTGGGATGCGGATGGAGAAGGAGGGCCCGTGAGAAATGGCCCGGAGGGGACAGTACCTGGAGATTGTCATCGTGAGGGACACGCAGAGATGGAAGAGGAAGTGCACAGGACATGTGAGTGGGCTCCTGCGCCCTGGAGCTGGACTGAGTTCATGGCTACGCCCTGGCCTTGGGGACAGGCCAACGCCTGTGTCCCTGGGATGTACTTGCAGGAGGGCTCCTAGACAGGCTGCTGCTTTAGACAGAACCAAGAGGCTAAGGAAGGTTCAGGCTGTCCCCAGAGACAGGAGATGAGGGCTCCTGTCTTGGCCCTGCCTGCCCTGGCCCAGCCCCCGGTATCCACCTGGGCCGGTGGGAGTCTTGGGATGGGGCTGCCCCCTCTTCACTGTGGCTAATGTTTGCTAGGCCAGTTATGGTGAACCAATGATACAGTGTTTTCCCTCTCCTCTTCCCCTCCTGGCTCCCCCCTCAGGATTTTCTGGAGGATTTGATTGTTTCTCTTGGGCTCTCATTTGGGTTTGAGGATCGTAGTCAGTTAGAGGCCTGCCTTTCCCCGAGGGGCCCTGTGCTTTCCTTGCGAAAAGGCACCTGCTCCCCGCGTGGATGAGGGTGGAGATCCTGTTGGTCTATTCATGCCCCCTCCGCCACCACCACGGTGTTGCTTCAAAGACTCGGCTCCTGTTCCGAGGAGGATCTGCTGGGTTTGCAGTTGGGCGTCAGCATTGGACCCATGAGGGTCCCACCCATCCACTGGGCACCTTGACTCTTCAAACCAAAGTTCCTTACAGGGGCACAGCCCAGCCTCGACTGCAACCTCAGGGGCCCGGGATCCCTGTGGCGCTTCCTGAAATGCAGGTTGGCAGAGACCTGGGGGTCTGAGACCAGCTGGAAGGAGGACCCCCTCCCGCCCAGCCAGGGCAGCTGGGTTCCCAAGCAGTGAGCCAGCTCGTGGACTGGCCTGGGGCTGGGACTCACCACCCAAGAGACAGAGGGACCTGCGGGGCTGAAGGCTCAGACCCACCGGGCAACGTGTCCAGGGCCATTCAGATCCCAACCATCAGGAAATCATTTTGTACAACCACCTGAAGCAGAGATATTTTTTAAAAAAGGATAAATTATTTTCCGTTCTCTTCTGATCCTACCTTTGTCTTTCCCCCACAGCTTCCCGTCGGTGATTCTTTCACATCAGGTAAAGCTTGAGAAAGCCTTGGTGCCCCTCCCTCCCAGGCCCCACTCCGTAGCCACGTGCGCACACCCCCATCCTTTCTCAGTAGTGAAGACGTTCTAGGCAATACCATAGGCACATCTGACTGTGTCTCTCTCTTCGAGTGCAAGAAACTCAAGTCATCTTAAAAAAAAAAATGCAAAAAAAAATTTACAAAAAAACAAACACAAAAAAATATCTTTTTTAGGCCAGAGTTTTCTACAGGTATTAATGAATATTTTTCTTAATCCTTATAAGTTTTATGTGTTTAATATTTCTTAATACCGGTAGCATTAATTTATACTTTTGTAGCAACACAATATTTTTATAAACAGCCAGTGCTTGGCTCAAGTCTCCACGAGGGGTTTATACAGGGCCATCTTGGGACCCTGTGTACCATGTACTGTATTTAAAAAAAAAAAAAAAGTTACCTAGTGTCACCCTTGCTGTGTTAATTAACAAAAGACGTTGTTTGCGGTCTCCTGTGTCGGTGTGGATCCAACAGCCTGTGGGTCCGACAGCTCTGCAAGGGGTCACATTGCATGGGGGTTGCGTTGACGGTTCTTGTGTGATGTGTGAGCCCCCGAGACCAAACTTGTGGGTGTATTTAAGGGTTTTCTGTTTGTCCTTTGGGTTTTTCCGTTTCACTTTGTTTGGGTCCCTGGTACCGTTTTCTCCATTTACAGCCAAATCAATTTCGTGATGTTTCAAACTTTTACTGATGTCAAATGGAGGAAAGGAACAGAAAAAGGAAAGATTTTTACGAAGTAATA